TTTTTTTTCGAATTTCGTTCCTCGCTTTTATTCAACTCTTATATCGTAGTTTTATCTCCTTCCTTCTCTTCATCAAGAGATTCCCTTCCTTTCTTTCACCTATTCCTTCTTATTTTTTGTTTTTTTTTTTTGGTAACGAACGCCTCGAACAAAAGAATCCTTTACGTAGTCCCAAAACGTACCCACCGAAAGAGTGAGAGAAACTTCTCCTCTTCTATAATACTTCTTTCAAATGGGCCCACGCAGATGCAGCAGCATTTTATTCGCAATTACACAGAGTCGTGTCCCTTCGAGCAATTTTAGCCTTTTTTTATTTTATTTTATTTTATTTTATTTTCACGCGATACCGTCATTCCAAACTGTCAAACGCGTCTCTATCTTACTTTTATGCACGTTAATTTTATTTTTTCTTCTTTTGTTGTTGTTGTTGTTATTTGTAAGAAGAAGGATGATTCCTAAGAGTGCACGACGTTACCCTCCCGCTTACTTCGGGCATAGTAAATGCAGGATAATCATTCAACGATTACCTGTCTCGCATTTTAACGTCCAAACAACGTCCCAGAGTCGGTCGACCAGTCACGGAAAGGTTCATCGATCTTTTCTCGTCAAAATAATTCCGAGAAAGTTTTTTCTTTCTCGCAATTACTGCTAACAGCTTGCTTTCTTTCTTTCTTTTTCGTTCGCACGTTGTTTGACTAACAATATATAGAAAATTTGCAAATAACGAAAAGAAAGCGACGAGTTAACGACGAGAGTTTTGTTTATTCCGATCAAGGCTATGCAGGTTTGCACGATAAAACGCATTTAACACGAGAGCATGTGTGATTTTATGTAATACACGACAGGATTCGATCAGATCTATGTAAACCTTAACAACGTTTCAAGGCGATTCGAGTTCTCTCGGTTAAACGAGTAGGTAGGTTGTTTCATGTAAGGTGCAACACATAATTACGAGTATACTTTTGATTCTTTACCGATATTGAGAAAATTAACATATCGCGTAGGTTAAACGCATGGCTTTGGCTAATTGCTCTTTGACTAATAGCTATCCTATCTTTTTATCTTTGTATCTCAATCAATTGATATTCATTTCTTCAATATGAAAGAGACTACTTTACTATGTTATCAAAATAATTATACGAAATACTTCGTTAACAATTTTTCACCGAAAAGAAAAGATAAATAAATTATGTTGCACTCATACAAATTATGTTATACTCGCCATTTGATGAAACGCGCGAACTTCTGGTTCATCCTAATATTTTGCTATGTGTATCCATAAGAAAAAGGATCGATAATATAATATCGAAACTTTGATAAAATCCTATACTCTCTCGTGACCAATTCGTAGTAGACGGTGGCTGAGAGTTAAGCGAGAAGGATAATTCAAGCGTGAACTACGCGGCAGCCATGAATTACTCGCTTTCTTGATATCTTGGTTTGAACGGTTCGAACAGAATGAAAAAGAGAGAGAAAAAGAGAGAAAAAGAGAGAAAGAGAGTCCAGGGAAACCGGTGGGGAGCCGGCTGTTGGACAGCTTCGTCGAGCAGGAGCAGCAGCATCGTCGGCCTCTCTGAAGAAGGGCCCCGGTGCGAGAGGCCCTTCGGGCCACTTTGCATAGCCGAGGCTCATCGGCTATGGTGGACCTCCCACGGGTTGACCGGCTCCGAGCCATCCAAGATACCTTCTCTTCTTCTTCATTTCTTTTTTTTTTCTTCATTTTACGTCCTATGTGTCCTTCTCTACCTTGTCTTTACCTCCTCCTCCTCCTCCTCCTCCTCCACCCCAGCTCCTTCCTTTATCTTTATCTCTTTTTCTCTCCCTTCGCGATTCGTCGAACACCGCCGCCATCAAGCCCCTTCACAACCCCTCCCAACCCCGCTTCCACCCCGTTCGTTCGTTCAATCGACGTGGATACTACAGTTTTATTACCTACCAACCTACGACCAAGGACGAAAGTGTGAATTATGAAATTGGAACCTTTTACCAAGGATCTTTTTGCCTTTTTTTTTTTTCCTTATCTCGACAAAAACTTACGTCGTTGTTATATTTTTTAGAATATTTTCTTCTATATCTAACTAATAGCTTATATATATATGTTACCATCAAAACAGGAAATCCGTCATTGCTAGTAATTCCTATACATTGTCAACAATGCAAAGCGCCTTTAACATATATATAGTATTACATATAATAAATCATATAAATTACATTTTTGTTTAGTTTAATTTAGTTTTTTAGTCGAATATCGTAATTACCGAGATGTATTATGCACATCCAAGAAATATGGCTTATGTAGGAATAAATGTATTGGCCATTATGGTTGGTACGTGCGTACTCTGCGTACTTGGAATCGGGCATTCGCATGTTTCTATTCTCATGACCGAGCAACCTGTATAGCCGGCCTTGACTCGTAACTCGCTCTCTTCTCTCGCGTCTGTAAAAAATGGCAGCGCGTCCGGTGTTCTTTTATCGAAAGGAGAGAGAGAGAGAGAAAGAGAAAAAGAGCAAACCATGACGCGCTTTAATGCCCGTTCAATGCGCACTTATCGCAAAGGAGAACCTCCACAATGCCCTTCAAACCTATCAAAGCGAACTTACTCGCTTGAAAATTCGCCTTGCCGACGAGAGGATGATCTCAGAAATTCTAGATCAAAATATATATATATATATATACTAGCAGACCAGGCCAGTTATATCAAACTGCACACAGTGTGCAAAATTTGATTAAAATCAGTTCGGTAGTTTAGGAGTTCATCGTGGACACACAACGTGACATGAGATTTATATTTGCGTGTGACACGTGTTAATTAAGGAAGAAATGAATGATAAGGTGTATTACATGTCTGGATAATACTCGGAAGGATGAGATGAAAAGATTTATTATTGGGTTGTTATATTAGTAAAATAACAATATTCATTATATTTTTAACTGTAGCTATTCGCAACCCTGACGCAACGAAGATATAGGACACATTATATACGTCCCTTTTTTATTCCGAGACGAGAGAATTTTATTTTCATTCTTTTATGGGACTGCACCCACCTCGGTGATCTTGCAGAATATCTTGCGTGGTGGAAGGTCAATCTCGTTCAGTCCGAAGCCAAGAAGAAGAGAAAAGGCCGAGACTCTATATATGTATGCTCTTTCTCTTTCTTTCTCTCTCGATTATAGTTATGTACACCAGCTTCCGAGGTTACAGACGGTTAGTAAGAAATATTCCACGGGCCGGCGATTGTATCGAATCAGACTGGTTCGGAGTCCGGTCTCTGGTTGCTTCGGGCCCCGTTCAACGTTCAACGTGCACGCATCTCACACTCCGTGTTTATATACCGTGGCATATAAATGCCCCGAAGCATTTCGTCCTCGAATATTACTACCTTTGTCGTAACGAACCGTTAGTAGGTAGTAGGTATGACTCTTTGTGTAATGAAACCCCGTTCGGAAGTCGTTTATAGTTCGATCGCTTGCTCGGTTAGTTCCAACCCACCAATCCAATTCCACCCTCTTTCTTTTCCGTCTTTCCTCGGATCGAATCGAACAGAATTCAAACAAACAACAAAACAAATCAAGTTTGTGATCGGTGGGTTAAACGATCAGCTCTTGTCGAATCGGCAACTCTCAATTATTATTCGATTGGTTATTTAACTATTTGATAATAGGTTGTAGTAAATGTTCTCTAGATAATCTGAATATATTATATAGCTGTACTTATTTATACAATGTACACTTTCGCAAGAAGTATATAAAATCTAAGAAAAAAATAAATCCATCCAGAGAGAAGAAGGCGGAGCAGAAATGATATATGACTCCCAGACGTGTACAACCTTTTTCTCTTTTATCCTACTACACACGTCGAGCACCGAACGTTAAACGCGCGTGTAACTGTAGCTTTTAATCCACTAATAGAGATCAGTTTCTAACGAAAACAGAAGTGTATGTTGGCTAGTACAACCACCCACCCGCATATCAGGTTCGCTGAATCAGCCTGCGAGTTAACTTCGTGATTCGAATCCATAATCTCCCGAGACCGTGTCGATGTTGTTAGAGACCACTTGGACTCTGAGAATGAGAGAGAAAGAGAGAGAGATCTATGGAAAATTCTTCGTCAAAAGCGTCTACGACCCTATCGCATGTTAGGAACAATGCAGATTAACCCTCAGTTCTATTGTATAGGACAAAACACGAAATGTGAAGAAAACAACAACAACGTACACGTGATAATGGATGGGAACTTTGCTATTGATGATAGAGAAAGAGCATTGTCGTGAAATGAATTAACGTTAACCATGCAACGTGGAGGAGCGACAGCAATTAAAGAATACAAGAAAAAGTTAACGGGAAGAATGAGGGGGGAGGGATAGAAGAAAATTTATATGACACCTTTTGAAAGTCAATTTCGTAATAGGTTATTCCGACTAGGAACGAGTTTGAAGATTAGTTAGATAATTTGCATATTTATTAAAAGGAATTTCTAACGATTACTTAGATTGTAGATTTTGTTAGATTTGCATTTTTATTGGATCTACGAATTAAAATGAAATGTTGAATCGAATAATTGATTTGAATAAAGCAATTGGTTATCGGAGAAACTATTGAACACAATATTCTGTCTCCTACAAACCCGTGTTGGAAATTAAAGCTACGGTATCCGTCACGGAAGCAACGTTCCCGAAAACAACCGGAAATGTTGAATAAAGCGGGTACCCTACGTACGGACACGGGTGGCGTGAATTATACACGCTTGACGTATGCGCTCCACGTGGTGTCGAATTCTTCAAACGAGTATTATATGTACTACTATACGCGCGTATGCTTAAGCTTTCAGATATGGACCGTTTATTCAAAAAAAAAAATAATTCCAAATATATATTATTATTATTATTATTATTATTATTTGACACTTTGAATAAAAGAAAATGAATATTTTCCAAAGTACTGACCAAACAATTGGAATAATAAAAATCTAATTTTAGATTGTTTCTGATCTTGATTACAGCGGAGTCGGATATTTGCACGTTCGCGGCACGAACGGAACACTTTCACGTAACGAACAAACCATCGACAGCGTTGTTCACGTCCAACACGAGACCTAAGGCACTCAAGGAATTGTACGAAGCCGCTGGCGTGGTAGCTGTCAGAAGTTTGGATTCGTTGAGAAGGGATGGCAGCTCTATGGATATGTTCCTCTGCACTCCAGTTCTTGGAAAAAGAAGGCGGGACCAAAGTCTCGACATCGAGTCTAGAGTCGTAAGCAATATTGCAGTTCTTGTTTTATCATTAAACGACAACAACAACAACAAAATTAGCAAAAATCCTTAAGACGAGTTCGTTTCTCTTTCATTCTATTTTTATGCATATCGTCGAGTCGAACGCAAGCAACACTTTGCAATTATTTCATTTGTCCCAGTCGTACAAATCTATCCCTACGTCCCTCTGTGCATTGCCCAAAAGTTCTTCTTTATATTGTTATTTTTTTGTTTGTTTTTTTTTTTAATTGGGGAGTAAACACTCTTCTCAAGTCGAGCCACGAAAAAAAGGAACACAATCAAAAATGACGTTTGCTTTTACTTTCGGCTCGAACGAACGCTCTCGAATTGTTTTAGCTTTGAACTCGGAACACTGAACAACCATATGGTATCTTAAAAGGGACGTGATATATATATATAGTACATAGAAATATTATAAGACCTCTCATGCCATCTAGTTTTCGATTGAAACGAGATAAAAAGCATTTTGTTGAAATCGATTTAACCTAGTCTCCTCGATGATGGATTAGATATTATTTTTTGACGGAATCGTAATTCCCATAGCAACATAGTACAGATCCTTTCTCCATATAAACTGGTAAGATACCCTCGGGGCTAGTCATCTTCGAACTATTCGAACCTTCTCTTTCTCTCTCTCTTTCTTCCTACCTTGCTTACATAATATCCGTCGATCCAACACGATTAGAGATCTCTTCCTTGGTGCATGTTCTATACCTTTTACGTATATATCGGAATGAAGAAGGCTACGTGATGTGCATTTAAAATCTACCTAACGTACATATATATCTTCTTATCGTTTTGAAAATTTCATAGAAATCGACAAAATAACTCGGAGAGATTCGATAGATAAAAAAAAGGAAAATAAAAAGAAGAAAGAATCAGAGAAGATTTATATTATCTCTAAGGATTTTCTCAAGTTGGCAAGACGACTCTCTCTCTCTCTCTCTCTCTTTTTCTGTCTTTTTGTATTTCGCGATAAAAAGAAAAAGTACACTGACGGGATGTCAGCAAGCGGTAAGATCCTTCTCATCTTCACTTCGATAAAGGACTCCCGCAGTGACGATAGGTAGCATCCTCTTCTTACCATAATCTTCTTCCAAGTATACTGCCGCAGTCAACAAAGTGTTAGGAAACACCGACTATTGTGAGATTAAAAAGAGAGAGAGAGAGAGAAGTCAGTCTTCCCTGAGTGCAATTTGATTTCATCCCAAACGTAATTTCTCTTCCTCCGTTTCTCTTTTAGCCGGCTGCTATCGAAGATCTACGAAGATGGACATCAGCAGAAGCACTCGGAGACGTCACCGTGCCACCGGACTGCATGTCCAGAATCCTCGGAGACACGGCCGACGACGAAGCCGTGGATCACAAGTTGCCCAGTCCGGAGGAACAGGTTCAGGCTGTTGCACTCAAGTAAGTACAGGATTTATGTCCTCGTAAAGATACTCGATACTCGACCCTACTAAAATTAACTATCTCTCGAGACGTGTTCTCCTACTTTTATACCCCCTCACTAACTAATCCTCTTCTTTCTCTCCTTCTTCTTCAATTATTCCTAAGATTTTCAAGAAAATTCTTAACTCGTTCGACGAATAATTATTTCATTAATTAGCAAACGCACGCAAACCAAAATTTCGAATTATTTCTAACGTTGACTGATAAATTGATCTATTTCTCTTTCTCTCTCTCTCTCTGAAATTTTTTCTTTCCAAAGTAAATTATCCGAGTAGTATCGATGACGATAAGATCGTATAATTTACGTGGTAAAGTTAGAGAAAACATAGATGGAAAGAGAGAAAGATAGATACATTATCAAAGTGCGTTCTTGAATCCACGCTTTCTCTTTTAAATGTCGTTCTATACCAAGTCGTAACGTAAATCACATCGGTGTGATAAATATATTCAAATAAATGATTAGAACATAAAATTGTGATGACTCACGAAAATTCAGGTTCCCGGCGGAAATCGTAGCGGTGGATGTGAGCGGAAGAGGGTTCGAAAGGATGTCAATGAGAAGAAGGTCCTTGCTATCGGGTCCTGAAATTCAACAAGAGACAAACGTGAAGAGACGGTCGAGACCACGAAGGCCAAGAGGGAAGAGACGAAATACGATAGCTGGCACTGATCAAAAGGAGATTCGTCAAGCTATCGGAGGGTAAGTGGTTATTATTCGTTAAAAGCAAAGTTCCTTCTCGAATCGATATCGATATTTCGATAAGGTAAAAGTAGTCGAGTAAATGGATACTGACGCTAAGAATCGCTTTATTCAGACGCTACTGGTCGGTTCGCATGTCTCATTGTCAGCGTAACGCGGTAAGAACAAGGTGAAATATCATTCATGCTTTTTTCTTTCTTCAAAACAATTCAAACGGAGTGTGCCTTTTATATTCATTCATTCCTGCTTCTGATAGTATCTAATCAATTTTGATTTGTCTATAATTCATTACTATTATAATAATACTGAGAAGAATTTTTGATTTAAGCATTTCATTGATAACATTTGTTACGAGTGATACGCATGTCCCCCTTCCTTGCACTGTTATATAAAAACGATGCAAGCACATTTGAGACTAATCATACGTTAAAATGATAGCGCGATAACGATCTTATTACACCATGCTACTCGAGTGTGAGGTTAATTTTGCTAGAGAGAAAGAGAGAGAGAGAGGCTTAATAAATGTTTCCAAGAGGATCAGCTTTCCTAACGTTGCATCTACGTGTTCAGAGAAACGACGGGAGACGAGCCGGAAGAAGCAATGCCTAGCACAACACCGAGGGCTCATCGTTCGGCTAGCACGGACATACTTGGTTCTTCGTCGAAGAAGGATACATCGACGGAAAAGAAATCCCACTTCAATACCTTAAAGGCTTGGGGAATGTCCAGGTTGAAGTCGATCGGTGGCGGTCAGACTAAATCAGGTGCGCAACAACAGCAGCAGCAGCAACAACAATCGCAACTGCAAGATACGAGGAACGAATCGAGCGCAAACAGATCCGAACAGGGTCAAAGCCAATCAAAATCGTCAACGGACGAAACGAATATTTACGAGACGGTTAATAGCAGACGTAAAAAAGACAAATCTCACCAAAGGAAGCCGAGCTCGTCGAGTTCCAGTGGTAAGAGTACCTCGTCGATTCCGGTGTCGATTCCTGTTACGTCGATGCCCGTATCGAGGCCGTCGAGTGCAGATAGGGCACAGGGTAACGTTAAACTGCGCGAAAGCGCAGTGCAACGAAGAGAACGACGGAAAGGTAGCAGCAGGGACGATGCACCTCATTCCAGTTCCGGAAATTGGAGCGCATCCTCGGAAAGTGGTAGAGCTAGCATCGGAAGCGAGACCACAACGACGACTCATCAACCAAGGTGATCAATCAATCTTACGATATATTACCCCTTGGGGAAAAAACAAATCCCATTATTTTTACGTTTTTTTTTTTGCACGTTATTATCTGTTTCGAGACCATTCACAATTTCAGCCGCCTGGCTTGCATTTTCGCCTTTATCAAAGAAAAACTAAAATCTACCGAATTTTCTATACTTTAAAAGATATCGATCACTAAAGCCATCCATTAAAAAAATACGTGATTTGTGTGTGCGTGTGTCTACCTTATAACATGCAGGCTGATTATAATTTTTTGACAGGTCTACAACCACTGCATCGATCGGCACATCCTCGACCTCGTTAAGTCACGCCAGACGTCTCAAAGGAAGGGACACTTCGGCGTCTTCCTCGGTTACCTCGGAAGGAACTTTAACACCCGACATCATACAAGACATTTCTGTCGTACCATTTTCCGATGACGGCGAGACATCGTCAGTTTATTCGTGCGATACCGAAGGCTATTACACTTCTTTTCACGTAGATTCCGGATTAAAAACTTTGAGGGAAGAGGAACCATTGCCGCAAAGTCCGCTAACTAAAACTAACGGCATTGGTTCCGATCCTACCTCGCCGATAATCGAGAACGAGTACGAATTGTTTGGTCGAGGATCTACTTCGACGACCACCAGTTCAGCCGGAACTGTTTGTACAGCCCTTTTGGCACCTCCACCGCCGGAAAGAAAATCGAGTTTAACCGTAGTCGCTATGGTAATGAAATCCTTTTTTTTCAAATCGATCAAACTTATTTCCTCTATTATCTTGATAATAATAATAATTATATCTTCTCGTGTTAAAATTGTCTTTTAGGTTCACGGAGAAAATCAGAACGGTGGAGAATCCCCCGACAGTGGGCACAACACTTCGTCCTCGCCGGTCGAGTCAGCTTCGAGTCCAGCCTGCACCGGAAGATCTTGTTCCGAATTCGAATATTCCGAGTCGAGCGATTTGGAAGGCTGCGAGAGGATCGAAAGAATTCGTTCAAAGACTGCGATCAATTCCAGTCGGATACCATCTATGTGCGTGATAACCCCACCTTGTTCCGACGACGAACACGCCAAAGATGTCGAATTATCGGATAAACAGCATCAAATTCGAAATAAGAACGATGTACAAGCAACGGGATCGGTCTTGATGTCTGCCACCGTTGGTACCTCCAAAATGGAAGTGATCAATGGACAAGATAAGAACCTTTATGCTACCGTCCAACACGTAATACCGTCTTCCACTGGCAACGATAGCAACGGCAACAATGACAGACCACCGATAACGAACAATCATCAATCATCGCAAATGAAAATCAGTCCATTGAGTGGAGTATTGGGTAAACTTCGCGGCGTACTTCCAGGTAGGAAGCACGTCTCGAAGAACGCGGTTCATGGTCTAACCAATGCGGACTCCGGCGACTATGTTACAATAGCCGACGTGAGGAACAACAACGACAAGCGACCGGAATCAGGCTCATCCTCTAGCACAAACTCCTTAGCTCGTTCCCCTGTCACTTATGCGAATTCCGATTTATTCAAAAGAGACGCGGAATATGTCTGTCTAAGCGAATTACCCAAAAAACCGGATTCCTCGTTGGAAAGGAAAAGACAGGGCGCGAGAGTTACTCTCGATTCCGAAGGCAAGGTTGTTTACTCTTCGGATAGTTTGAAGAGAAGAAAAGGAGCACACACAACCTTCAATCCAGGTAAAATTTCACACGATATGTTAACGTACGTGTTAACATTAGGGTGATCGTTATTTCCCTTTTCTCTCATTTTCTTTGGTCAGCGCAAACTTTTCAAACTCAAATTTGAGAAGATGAATTTACAAATATTTACTTTACCTTGATCCCAGAGTAAAGAGGGATACTTAAACTCATAAAAAACTCTTTAAAAAGTCAAATAACGAACACCCTAATATATATATATAGATAGAGAATAAATATTAATGAAAATAAAAATGGAACCGTTAGGTCCATTCGTAAGAGAAGGAACATCACCTAGCCCATCGCCTTTATTGCGTCGAGCAATGCCAAATGTCCGAGCAGTAATCAAAAGTCAGGACACCGTAGACAGCAGCCAGAAAAGGACACCATCTCCCACACCCCCATCACCTTCGCCATTAACTGCGTCAGCTACGTCACCGCCTACATCACCGCAATTGGGTAAACTCATAATTCGGGCGGCGAAGAGCCCGGACAGAGCCCCGAGTCCGGATTACGTGAGGACACCCGCTACCGTGGTGGGTCCAAAGAGTCCCACCAGTCCTCACAAACAAGTACGGGGAGCGTACGTCAACGTGCAAGCTGGTGAAGAAGGTAAGACTATCGCGAACGCCGATAACGTTGCTAGATCTTTGAAAAAATCACGAAATCGATCATCCGACGACGATGACGACGATGACGACGACATTGACGATGACGACGATGACGACGACGATGACGACGACGACGCGAAACCATTTACAATGAAAAATTCTTTACCTTTTCGAAAGAGTAATGTTGGCAGTGTCGTGTTAGCACCTAATTTTAATCCCACCAGAACGAATTACTTTGATGACAATCATCCTGTCGAATTGAACAACGTCGAAACGATAAATCAACGAATACGATCAAACTTACATAGTAACTCGGGTAATCTCGAATTAATCAATACCAGGAATTTAGAAAGACCTTCTTCTTTCTGTCCAAAAATCTTAAAACCTAGCGGTAACACGCCCAAATTAAGCAGGAAATTATTGATTTCTGACTTTGATACTCCTAACTTTTGTAGAAAAATAGTTGCTCAAAAGGAAATAGAACATACGATAGAATCCGAACGAATCGTCAATGGCGAGCAACAAACATTTTCTACGTTTTTCCATACGACAAACGATAACGATTCGATAAATAAAGATTTTCTCGTTGAATATACAGATAATTCCAAATCGAATTCTAATAATTCAGCTAAGAGAATCACGCGAGACGATAGAGTAGATCGTAAAGTAAAACGCAGCGAAAGTTATCGCATGGCTAACAGCCCAATAATGTTTATCAAAAAATTTTCCAGCGGTAACGAAAAATCGTGTAAAATATTTCGCACACCTTCCGAGGAATTGCGCGAGGAATTGTTGAAAGAAAGGATAAATTATCCTGAAACGGTATCTAGTCCGGAACCACCAATGGAATCTAACGTTAATTACGAAGCAAACGTGAAGATTTCTATGCCTATCGGTGTAACAATACCGAGTAGTCCAAGACCCAGAGCTTTGGATCTACAGCCTGTCAAAGTTCTCGAATATTCTGGCAATGACACTGAAATCTGGTAAAAGATAATTCAAATATCATTTTTAATTGATTTCCTCTATACGTTTGTTTTTACTTTGACTTTAAGAAATTAATTAGAAACATTTGATACGTGTCCAAACCTACATACAACTGTAATAAGAAGAAATCCACAAATACTATTGCATCAGATGCAACAACAAGAAAAATCATATTATAAGCTTGTAGATAATGAACGATTTCGAATTTGTGAATAAAAAACGATTGATTGGTGCTGTTACACTACCGTGTAGTAAAAACTAATAGCTCAAGGACCAATTACATATATACTATAATTAGTGCCGAAAGTATAGTTCGAAGTGACCGGATTTATCTCCGAAATTATCTCGGAATTGCAAAGAAGAAGTGTCGATAGACGAGTGTCATTGTCTCGAAATGATAGGGGCATACATGCGCTAAACGAACCGTTCGGCGGTCAAGATAATAAGATCTAACGATTCTCTCTCTCTTTCTAACCGTTAGAAGCAAAGAGTGATATGGCAGAAATCATTGCATTGGTTCTATCTAATACGCGTTCGAGTCTGGACAGCTGCAAGAAGCTGAACTCGTCTGATGAATCTCGTATTTAACATTTCGTAGAAAGATAAATGTCATTTTCTATAGATATGTTTCATTGTTCAATGGATGGAAAATTTCAGAGTTCAAAAGTTTTATCAATAAACTTTCTATAGACAAATATCCCCAACGAAGACTATGATATTATAAGATTATTAAATAAATGATATCTCCTTTTCGAATAACTTTCTCATTCATCTCTGTCGTATATAGTTGTACAAATTATGCAGAATTTTCTTTTCTTTCATATGGTATTATGATTCGATTTATAGACGAAAAAATTTCGGATCCACGAGCACACGTCTGATAATAATAAATAAATAAATGCCAAGAATTTTCATGAATATATTTTTGTCTTAATTCACTGATAAATTATTTTGTTTATTTTTTGTTTTTAATTGACTTTTAATCAAGTACGCGTTGTTTGGTGACCAACAGGAAAAAAAAGAGAAAGTCGTCGTTTCAATAGGACGCAAATGTAAAATCTTCCGTTGGAATATTCTGGCGGTATGTAAACGAAGGAGGGTTAAAGCTCGCAGTCTTGATAAGCTTGGTAAACTTCAGGGAGCGCCCCCAATGGAGCTTTGTTAGCCCTTATCAGCTTTATTAGCCGCTGATTCAATAATAAACGAAGTTGCGTCAGACAGCCGATGTTTATCCCAATTGATAATGCCAAAGATTCCGATAAACAAAAACCTTTCCCCTCCCTGTCGAGGATAGAAATACTTTCTTGAAGCCCGTCTACTAGCAGAGTTCAGTTGAAATCGACCCACCGATCACCAACCCGTTAGAACCAATCTGAGGTAATTCAACATCCTTTTCGAATAGAACTAAACTCATTGTCGAATAGAATAAAATCGTGACCAAATTGTTTCGTGTTTGTGGTTAGAAGAATTTCAAATAAATCATCCTGACGTATCTTGAAATATCTTGAATAATTGTTAAGAAGAAATAAGGAAGAAGGATTTAAGGAGGAATCCTGGATAAACATTGAAATCGCGTATCGATACTGACTCCTAACGCAACAATCTTTTATTGTTTACCCGGCAAGAGGAAATTTAAATTCTTCGCGGGCAAATCGACGATAAGCCATAATCAGTGGATGAACGTGGAAAAGACTTAGTCGGTAGACAAACAGCCGCCAGTCTCGGTAGTCGTTCCTATCCAATCTGACCACTGAACAACAGCTGTTCTTGTTACTTTTAACCAATTCGAGGACGATCACTCTTTCGTGATATTTTCAACATGTTGGCGAGACATTTTCTATTCATTGCTACCAAACGATCACGTAAGTCATTTTCTCAAACATTATCATATTCATTTGTGTTCTACAGATAAAAATGAATAATACGACAGGGAAGTTTTTACTTTGATTTTGTTCATTTGATCATCACGCCAAACTGTCTTATTTGTTTTCGATCGCTTTTCTAACCCTTCTTTATGATGTCAGATCGACCTAATCATCATTTTATAGCAAAGAAAAGAAAATCGTAGAACAAGATATATCCTAGTTAATCGTGCATCTTTATTATTCTAAACTACATTTTGAAATTATTTATTGTTCCCCAACGACGTGGTAACATCGTAATAACGATGATAACTCTTATAAATCTGACATGACGACAAAGAAATATTTGCAAATACAGCAATCTCTCGTATTAACTAATTAGCAAGAGAGATAAAGGAAGGAACGATGATGCGCACAGAGAAACTTTCGCATGTGCTTGTTCGTATGTGTATACATGTATCAGACAAAAATTACAATAAATTCAAATGAGAAATGGAAAGATTATTATTATCAAACGAATCTTCGTTATTATAAATTATTTTATTATTAATTATTATTTTACTGTTATTTATTTTTCGAAAAAGCAAATATTTTATTCCAAGGGAATCGTTGAACACACTTTCCGGAACGTTTTTCTCTCCTTTGTCTTTACTCGATAGTATCTACTCGCTAGAAAAAGAAAAGGACAAGAAGAAGTAGAAGAAAATTCGCATAATTTTATTCCTTTCCGTATACTATTATATATTCGCTTATGCGAAAATAAAAGAACTTTCTTACCGACAGTACGTGCCGTTTGAAACGAACCAAGCAATAGGCATCTTCTACAAAATCGTATTGCCAAGAAGCGTCGTAAATTTCTAATTTCAATGGATATTCAATACGAAGGAAATGCAATGGCTACCTTTCGAACCCCAGAGATGGTAGCTTCAGATTTTTTACGTCGAGAAATTTATTTATTCCCTTTTTCTTTTATCTCTTTTCCTTGAAAAACAATCGAGAAAAAAAATACCGAACTTGGTGTGTTCTTTGAAGCAACTCGTTTCTTGCAATTCGTAAATCCCACCAAACATATGCTTTTATACACATGCAGTAACAAATAAAAATATTAACACAGACTATACATTTTTCTCTATCTTTTTAAAAGATTTATACAAATATTATAAAAAATGTAATTTGTCAATATTTTTATATTTGATACTATATACATATACCCTTCTTTTCTTTTTTTTGTTGTTTTTTTGATTTCGCGGATCACGTCTTATCAAGAGTACAAACTCGTGTCAAAGAACGTGACAAAATTGATGGTCGTTTAAAATGCTCGTTATCGCGAATTTTTTATTAATTGAATTTAACTCGACCTATTTCTTATTCGATCTAATTTTAATCTGTCCTCATCGATGACCTTAATTTCTTTTTCTCTTTGTTTCTCTATCTACAAAAATTCGTATTAATTAATCCAATTTCTATGGACACATTATCGCGCCACCGTCTTTATGCGAAATCGTCGTCTATTATCTTTCCTATCACGTTTCGATTGATATTTTCATAACGTCGCCCGAGTGTCTGACCGTGTGTATTTTTGCAAAACATCAAAACTACAAGGAGCATATACGTGTAATGCTATCAGTGGGTGTGTGCATGTTTTATATGAAACGCATTGCTGTAAAAACTATGTTAATCGAAACACGTCGGTCACGTGTTTCCTTTTTAACGCACACCCACCCATACGTGCATATAAATGCACGCGTATTCAAATGAAAAGATCATTTTTAAGATTGATAATTAAAGAACTTAATGAAAATGCATGAAAACGCATATCCGTTTGAAAAATATATATATATGCATGTTTAAATTTTTAATATTTCATTTCCTCATATCTCCGGAGAAGATTTTCTATATTACTTGTTACATCTACGAGGACATTGAAAGATTTATCATACAATTATGAAACATACATATTATATGTCTAACCGATTAAAGTAAAAGATGATGACTATGTATACGTATTTATACATAAACTTCATCCTAAATCTTGACAACGACGTATCCCACTTGCACTTATGTATATATACTTTCATTATAAACTCTCTCTCTCTTTCTCAAACACACACACACAGAAACTCGTAAGATTCGCTAATCGGCAACGGAAAATTTCGTTTGGTAGTTATCATCGTAAGTCGGGTCACGTCGTCATATTCAATATCAACGTCGTATTCAAAAGAAGTCCGTTATTTTCGCGCGAATTTAAAGGGAAATAAGAGAACAAAAACTACACTGAAAAAAAAGAAAAAAATGAAATGAATTTTAATATATTTCGATCTATCGTTCCAAAGACTTTAATCTAAATCATGCGATTTAAATGACATGATCATGTCAATTACAAACATTTGGATTAGAGATGCAGAAATATATAGACAATTCATTAGATCATCGTAATTGTTAGAAACTATATCGATGACATCATCGTTTGATCGAGTCGACCCACGCGAACTCCTACTACCAACGCGCATAAATTCTCCCTTATCAATGTAATATACTTCAACTTTTGTTCTTTTATCATTGGTAAGACGCATTATATTGACGCGTTTGACATCACTATGGAATTGTAGCATCTCCGGGGGATAAAAATGATTGTGAATTTTTTCTTCCCAATGAGAAAAGAGAAACGGGAATAAAAAGATAAAGAGAGACCCAAAGAAAGACAGACAGACAGACAGAAAGATAAGAAGAGGGAGAGAGTGATGGAAAAAAAAACTACGAACAAATATTTACCTAAAAATGCATCAACAACGTTCTTGCAACCCTCTCTCTTTCACAATATTTCTTTCATTTTCTCTTTAGGAAGAGAAGCTACTTTGAAACACGCCGAGTTACGAGGCGCGTCTTTGAAGAAAAATGTTTTTTTTTTCTTCTTCCTCTTCCTCTTCCTCCTTTTACTTCTTTTTCTCTTTCAAGCAGTCTCTTCTACCGCGGCTTAGATACCGGAACGACGGAATGCAACAAAAGCAACAAATAGGAGAATCTCGTGGCGCGTGCGCTCTTATCTATAAAAGTGCACTTTTACCAGAGTTCCCAGCGTGCATCGCTTCAGTCACGCGAATTGCAACTTCGATAAATCGTATACACTGTCTCTCTCTTTCTTTCTCTAGTATAATATAAAAGAAAATCTAGCTTAGGATAAGCACGAAAGCACAAAACGTATACTTTAGAATCTAGATTATCTCTACCATTATATTCCGGATAATTTATTCTCTCCCCCTCCCTTTTTCATTTTTCTATTATCTTTCAAAAATCCGTAATCGACTTCACTCGAAAAATGATTCTATTTCTTTCAGGGACATCGGCAATATCGATTACGTTATCGTTCTGGTGGGATTTTATTTGTTTGTTATTTATTAAAGCCAATATTTTGCAACACATTTTTGGTTTTGTTTTTCTTTTCAATTGAAATAACGTTCCAACGATAATTGAAAATAATAATAATAAAATAATGTGACAATGTATCGTGAAATAATATCGATCGATAGGAAAAATTCACTGCTTCGTTCTCTTTTAAACAATCTTCCTTTATTATACTGAACTCTAATTGTATCGAATTTCTTGCAACAAGTTTCTCCTCCTCCTATTCCACTTTGTTTTTTAATCGGCATAGGAGGATTAGGTTTCAAAAATTTAGTTTCGCCTCCTCGTCGAAGCCACGGATTAATTTACAGGTCGCGACTGTTACACGATGTGGCTTTTTAAAATATAAACAAAAAAAATAAAACAACATAAGTTTCTCGAACGTATTAATAATGCTAAATTTGTTTGTTAACGATTACATGGACGATGGCAATGAAAAAATCATTTTTGTTTTATTTTCGAATAAAAAATAAAGACAGAAAGAAATACGACTGCACGCGTTGCCACTATTTTCATTAAATTACCCTCCTACCCCCATGAACAATTTGTTCAAAATATATTAACAAATTATTTTATTCGAAAAAAGAAATATTTTCAAATATATTTCAATTATAAAATACTCGGCATTGTAAATACTAATCAAAGTGTTGTTTTCTTTTTGTCTTTTTCGACGACAATCGTGTTTAAGAAATTTGGCAATTAGTGTAATAAGCGATAAAGATGTTTGTTCATTCTCTCTCTCTCTTGCTCTCTCTCTCTTGCTCTCTCTCTCTACTTCTTTCTTTTTCTCTCCTTTTCTCTTTCTATTTCTTTTTTACTCGATAACTCGTATATCATAGAAAAGTACATTTTTCGCGATACGCCATCGTAGTGTATAATAATTATCGTATACATCAATTTGTATTATATCGTCGTTAAAATATTGCAAGAAATTTGTGTTGTATAGGCGATGAATATTGTTTTTTTTGTTCCTTTTTCGTGAATATCGTGAATAAAACATCGACTTTCACGATATTCCAATGCATCGTATGAGAAACAACATCGTGGGCATGCGTCTGGAAGATTTTGTAAATGTGCATTGAAATTCCCTGTTTATTATCGCATGTTAGCTCATGTTGCGTGCTCGTCTCTCCATTTTTGTAAGTATCGTCCTGCACTAACAAACAACTAACTTTGAATTTGCACCGTTTTGTTCTTTTGGTTTTTTTTTCTTTCTTTTTTTTTAATTTCTTAATATTTTTATTATATCACTGCGCTGTGTTTCAAATAATTAGCACCTTTACATGCATCTATCTGCACCCACATATCACGTGCACAATGTAATTATTATGTAGGTGGTCAAAGTAGCTTAGAAAAAACAAATATGCAATCATTAAAAGACCGAATAACCAATGAAGAAACTCTTTTCCCGTATTTACAAAATCTAGACGGATTTTTCTCTTTTTACAATTATATATATTATATTATACTTATATATAAAAATATATTTGTTTTTTGTTGGTTATGCATATTGCTTTTTTCTCTCCCCCCTCACAAAATAAGAAGAATTTATTAATAGTTTATATTTTTGATCGAGCTTTGCAGCTAAAATAACGCATACACACACATGAACATATATACAGGGACGTACTTACGATTTGGGCAGGGGAGCATGCGCTATCATGTGTACTATTCGTGTTTTATATGCGTTAACATTTAAGTTTATATTTTGTTTCTTCTTTTATTCCTTTTACTTTTTCCCAACTTCTTTCTTACTCTGTCTCTCTTTTTTCTCATTTTTTTATGTAAGTTTTTATAAATATGTATATTATTTTTGTGTCTTCCTCAACGACAACTAAAAACAGTATGAAAGATGATAGCCATGTGTAAGAAAGCATCGGAATGTGTCTAATCCTGAACGCGTATTTTTTGTATATAGTACGAACAAAAGAAACGTCTCATCTTTTATTTTTCTATTTTTTTTTTTTGTATTATTACGAGAATGTGTGCGTATGTGAATAGTATTATCTATCATTTCTATTTTATAAATATATATAATGTGAATAGAAACGTCATTATATTAATGAAGAAGAAAAAAAAACAAACAAATGAATGAAATTGCATTTAGTCATTTTTTCACTTTCGTTTACCCTCCGTTATTATTATTAATATTATCATTATTATTATTATTGCGATATCATTCTTTCATTAACATTTTTTTCTTTACACGCATTTTTTTCTCTCTATGTATAAACGTAACATATATATGTGTATCTAATCTTACCCACCTCCACCCAAACCCCAACCCTTCCTCCTGTTCATCCACTCCATTTTTGTTTTTACTCTTTCTTCTCGTATTGTTTCTTTTTATTGGTTGTATCTCTGTATATTATATACATATACACGTAACAGTTTTATAGAAAAAAACAAAAAAAAGAAAAAAAGAAAAAAGAGAGAGAAAAAAACACGAAAGAATGCACCTCACGCGCGTGTGGCATCCCTCAATAGTAATTCACCCACATATCACATGTCCCATGCTCCATGCTCGGTGAGTACAGACTTTTATAACTTGGCAAAATGAGAGATGACAACAAAATAGTAATAATAACAATTAAAATAAATCAATTGTTCGAAGATCGACGTAGACATTTTGTTATTTTCAATCGTTGAGTTAATCGAATGAAATAATACAACAAGAGACTTGGGATGTCGATGTTGCGAACATTTTATTTATTTTATTATTGTTATTATGCATTTTTAAAGCGTATTTTTGCATACATATATATATATATAATAAATAATTGCATGTCATTGTTTTTGTTTTTGTTTTGTTTTATAATTATTTTTATTTATCGTTATCTTTCACACGCTTATCCGCAATGTGCTTGCATTTATGCTTTTTATACTAACCCAAAGATATACTGGAATTACTTTATAACACACAATATAAGTCTAACTATGATTTGATTTTGTTATTTACTATACAGTACGATGCGCTCGATCTATCTATTTGAAAGGATTTTTGATAAGAAATAGTAAACAAATTAAAACGATATATAAATATTAAATTATGAAATAAATTTGATCACGCGTTATAATAAATACTGCAAAGTATGGAAAATGATTTGACTACTAAAAAATGTGTGTTAGTATTGAACTATAACTTAAAAAGCAAATGATTACTACCGTTGAATTTCGAGAAAAGTTAAACATTCAAATAATACGTAGCAATAACGTAAGATATTCTAAGAATAGCTAATGAAAACGTGATATGTCATAGATCAAATTTTGTCGATTTGTATGAATATTCTAAAATTAACTTATTCTACGATCTCTCAAAATATATTTCGAAATGAAAATGAAATAAAGTAAAATAAATAATGACTAAGAAAAATCGCGCACACATCGAGGTAGTAAAAAAACATTTTGTGCATGAAATAAAAATAGAATTACTAAAGGATACATTTTTTGTTTCAGAGAATGGTTTATATTTAGTTATCCCGTCAAAATCGATAGTGATGCAACAACCTCCAGCATACATCGGACCACCCGTGCCAGGGGATAAAGAAAAATTACACAAGTACAAAGAAATATCGAAGGATACTAATCAAGGTAATCATCATCAAAGATTGTATCAAGAAGAAATTCGAAATCAAGGAAATAACGATGAAAAACGAGGATATCCTGAGAATACCTATACTCGAAACAATACCCAGGATCATTATCGTTACAACGACGATCAAAAGTTCTTCGAACGAAATAGAATAGCAAGTTACTGTGATCACCAATTACGTAATTGTGAGCATCAGTCAGTTCAAATACAGAATGCAAAAAATCAAGGATTTTGCATGGCCGGAAGGGTCCAGTGCGATCAACAGCAATTCTATACTTTACCCACGAGGCGAGCTCAAAGAGAGATCGAACCACCACGAAGCGTCACTCCGGACATCACGAGAGGTCTTGGACGTAGTTCCCTCAGTGCAATGCACATGTTAGCCAGACAAGGACGAAGGCCCGTTGCCAAGCAGGTTACCGAGCAGGTTCCTAAGCAGGTTCCCGAACAGGTTACCGGGCAGGTTCGTCTCGCGATAGGTAATAGGAAGTTGGAAGAATTCGAGAGGAGGAAGAGACTCCTGCAACAACAGCAAACAACGCCGATCGTTGATGTCAGAAATAGGTGAGAGGGATCGACAATTATAACCCCTTCTATTAAACTTCCTATTTAAAAACTGAAAGCTGATTCGACATAACAAAAACGTCTTTAAAAATATATTTAGTGTTTGTGTAAATGAAGTATATTTACCTTAAATTCTCTAAATACGTTTAATTATATTAAGTGGATAATAATTATGACTTTGTTATAGATTCGCAACGGCGTTGAGTCAATCCGCACTTGGCTATCGATTCTTAGCTTCCTCTCCCATCAACGAACCCATCGCGATGCCACCGGCTAGTACGAATCTCCTAAAGCACGATCCAATTTCCCCCATCGGTGTTGGTTATGGTAACGGGTTTGAGTCTTCCACTCCTATAACACGATCGTCTCGAACCGTTGCCGAACGTCTCGCTCTAACAACCGGCAATTCTACGTCCCCTGTACCAAGTTCTTCCGGCAGGAGTACACCCGTTCAAGGGTCCTCTTCTTCCGGTAGAAATACACCGACAAATTTGATCTTATCGCCGAGTAAAAGTACAATGTCCAACGAGGAACTATTCACAGCGATTCATAAATCAAAGAAGAGACTAAACATCAAAGATGATAGTGAAAACATGTCGCCGTACGGTTCAATGAATTCTCTTGTTAAAACACCGCCCGGCAACAGACACAGTTGGAGTCCTGAATCTCAAAAACAAACTGAGGTAAGAGAATTATAACAAAAGAGAAGAATAATAACCCTCTTATATCATCCTTCCTCCCTCTTTTTCTGTCTTACACTTGTAATATTTTCATCTTTCAGATACCCATTTCTCAAGCGATTAATTCTCCATCGAGTACTTCGCGATTAGATTTCAAACGCTTGCTCCTTCAACAGAGCGTTAAAGTTGGACCTACAAGACTCTCGGCAGCTGAACAATTAAAACTTTCCCGACAACAGTGTCAGCAGCAGCAGCAGCAGCAGCAGCAGCAGTTGCTGCAATCACCCACTATCGTCAATCCCTCGCAAACTCCTTTGACCAAAGTAATGAGTCCTCGATCGGTATGGAGATTCCAAACCCCAAGAACTGACGTCTTGTCCTCGACCATTATCGAAGATACCGCAGCTGAAGAAAAAGCTATGAAACCGTCCCCGGAGAATACCTCGCCTATCTCGAGATTGAACAGCAAAAGACAATTGGATCTCGGCAACGATCCACCGCAACCTAATAATCTACGAAGTATGATGGAACAGGACAATATATTCGAATCCTGTGACGGTAGACTGTCCTCCGTCATATCTAACTCGTACTTCGATAACAAAAAAGATAATCGCACACCGAAAAGAACTGCACAGATCGAGCCAAAAGTTTTATCTTCTTTTACCGTGGTTGAAAACGGCGCTGCCACCATTACCACCACCGCCACCACCACCACCATCACCACCATCACCACCACCACTACTACTACTAATAATAATACCGATATATCTCTACAGTATTCGCAGAACTCTGCACAAATAACGTCGAAAGAACTAGAAACCGTAAACGCGATCGAATCCAGACGATTGAGCAATCAATTGGCGAGAGCTCAATTTCTAGCCAGCACACCGATTTCTAACGATCGACAAGGACAAAGTGCTTACTTTGGCAAACGTTTTCGAGCAAGATCGGAATCACCAAAACACGTTAATTCTCAAAACGTTACTGCCCGTAGCCCGAGTGCACCAACCCTAGAAACTGCTCTCTGATCTAAACAATTACGAAATATGATAATAAGAAACACGCTCGTGTTTCTTTATTTATCAATCAAACGACTGCTAAGATTGATGAAGATTTAGACGAATTTTTTTCAAGCAATAAGATTAAAACATAAGATATATTATATATATATATAATGCCTTATATAACATAATCTCGATTATCGATTATAAAAGTCACGCAATAATATATTTTTTCTTCGCAAAGAAAAAATCAACAAAAAAGGAGAAAAAAGGAACTCGTTGTACCATAAAGTTATATGAGCCATTAATTTACCAAAAATCTATTCTGCAACACAAAATAATAATTGAAAAATATTGATAAAGTATAGAAAATGAAAAAAATCAATCAAGAATGTGTTCGGCGATATGATATTAAAAAATTCTACGAATAAATTTAATTACTTTTGTGGCTCGTAAAAGGCTCATATACATGTGATACGCGAAATCGCTAGGATCAAAAATATCGTTCGCCTTTTTATATACTTTTTTTTAAATCTAATTAATCCTCAATCTTATATCTCGTCTTAAGTTATTAATTTATTTTTCGCCTTTTGCGATATAATATTGCGCAACCTGTACCTCTCCTATACGATAGAATTAAGGAGTCATTTTTTATGTAAATATGAAATCGACGATAATTATTGAAAAGAAAGAAAAAAAGAATATTACGTAAACCTGGCTTAAAGTCGTTTGCTTGCTCTAGTCTAGTCGGGGGGTAGTTTTTTAGTTATCTTTTATTTCTTATTTATCGAGATAATAAGGATTTACGTATAATATAGCGAAAGATATATTATATATATGTATATATATAATTATTGCGATAATTTTTTAAGCCATATTCATTTTTAATTACATATGTATGTACGTATACATGCATATATATATGAATATCTATATACAGTAGATTATAATATGTTACACGTTGTATGAACACATGTATCAGATCAAAACATTTCAAAGCTATCCCATACGAAGTCGTGTAACTAAATTTATGGGGTTGTGCAGAAATTGTAGAAAAATTAAATAATTCTTGGATGCATAATGACAAAAAATTAATTCAAAACCAGTTAAGCAATACTACACGTATAATATATCTGTAAGTTTGTGATAATAAAAGAGAAGATACTATAGAATTTAAAATATTTGTTTGAGTAAAGGTAGTCGCTAAGAGGAAAAATTTGAGAAGTCTTGCATTAAATATAAACAAGAAAATTCTATCTTTGGTGGAAATTATAAGAATTCGGAACGTAGGAGAACACATTGTTGCGAAAATCTACTGTATGTATTTAAGCATATGCTTACATTTCCATTTAACAGAATGTAAGTATAAATTGGCAAAGCTTTATAATATAGATACATATATATATATATATATATACATATATAAATGTATGTATGGCGAATAGTAATATATTCAAGAAAAAAAAGACTAATGTGTATAATAATAACGACGAGACAGAGTTGCCTTAATTAACTTATTGCACGAATGTTGGATATACATATAAATATGTATTTATGTATTACAATCGTATATCATATGTTGGCAATGTATTTTCGCAAAAAATGTATTTTTTTTCTTCTCCTGTATGCTCAAAAAATATGAAAGAAAGTGAGAAAGAGAAAGCAAACGCAGCCCAGAATAACGATAAATAGTTTTTAAGCCGAAAATTACGTTTTGTACTTTGCTGAAAATAAAAAAATAAAAAAATATATATATAAAAAAAAAACATAGAAGAAGAAGAAATACAATGAAAAGATTTAATTATGTTCATACCTTGCCTTTCCGCAACTTCGTTTTCTTCTTAATATATCTAATATACACGCGTAATCTAATTTTTATTATTACACTAATTAGTTAATTATTTAATTAGTTAATATATTATTACACTACCCGCCAAATTAAACTTGATGACTGACAAAATAAATGTTGAAATGATCCGCCACAAACACTGCTGACAACTGTTGAATAATAACTTTTTAAGATTTATTCGTTCGTAAGGGTTGGTTACCCTTATTATGCGATGGCGCCACTTTTGCCTGATTCATAACCTAACTTAATTGACTGACAATATGTACAAAAACGTAACCTATAAAGTTTATTGACAATTTTCTTAAGAAATTGTACTTATATTTTTAAACGCAAATAGAATAATTAAGTTTAGAATAAAGAATAATTGCAATATGCCCAAATACTATTGTGATTATTGTGATACATATTTAACGCACGATTCACCAAGCGTTCGAAAAACTCATTGCCAAGGACGAAAACACAAAGATAATGTTAAATTTTTCTATCAAAAATGGATGGAGGAACAAGCTCAACATTTAATCGACGCCACGACAGCGGCTTTCAAGGCTGGCAAAATTGCATCTAATCCATTTGCAGCGAACAAAGGTGCTGCTATACCACCACCACCTAGCCTTGGGCCACGACCTGGAGTACCACCACAGGGACCACCAGGTATGATGCCACCACCAGGTATGCATCCTGGTGGTCCAATGGGTCCTGGCGGTCCTATGATGATGGGCCCACATGGACCAATGCCTTCGATGATGGGTATGAGACCACCGATGATGGGGCCTATGGGTCCAATGGGTCCAATGATGGGGCCAATGGGTCCTATGGGACCCATGAGACCATCTATGAACGGACCTCCGCCACCTATAGGTGGCCCTCCACCAATGAAGAAATAAACAATTAAGTGTTATTTACATTTTGCAAAAATATACCCTAAAAAGGTTCATCGTCAACAGGACAATATTATGCGTTGTATGCTTCATGTTTATATATTTGACTATGTATAAACTAACTGGGATACAAGACGATATGATAAACATCAATTTAAATATGCGCAACATCTGGGTTAAATATAAAATGTCTTATAAAAAATTAATATTTCTTTAACAGAAATCTACATATTATATTTTATGAATTATATGATTAGTCAATAAATACATTCAATAATTATATATTTGAATTTTTATTTACTCAGATGGTAATTATTTATTCGTATAGAATATAGAATATTATCTGTACTACATAATATGGTTGATTTGAATTTTATCATTTAAGTTCAAAATATTTTTAAGTATCCCTTTTCTCCTCTTTACTTATATTCTAAAAATTAATATTTTGTTGAAAGTTGACACGATAACACAATGTTCAATGAATGTGCTCTTATCTCTATAATGATAAAAGAAATTATCATTAAGATGATATTTAAACTATTCTATCTGTGTTATGTTAATTGAATAAATTATTATAACAACAAATTTATATATTTATTTATTATATATACCTTTATAAGAAAATGCATATGACATAATTATGTTAAAAATGCAAAATTAAAATCGGATATTAATTTATGTGTTACATAAATGTAAGTTTGAACTTAACAGTAATTAATTTCTGTATAATTGATATGCAAATATCTATATGCACTTTATACAGTTAGAAAACCAAATTAAAATATACATTACCATTCCATCTATATTTCATGAATAATAATTCATATTTCTCTTTCGAAAACTATTCAACTTATTATTAATATAAAATATATTAATAATATTATGCTAGTAGCATATATTCACATTCCCTTCTGAAGAAGCATTATCAAATCGATCGTAAAAATTTTTTATTTCTTTCTGATGCAGAAGCTCCATATATACCATTCTTTCAAGCATACAAATATTCTTTCTTATTAAAGTATTTTGTTGAATTTTTTCATTCAAAACGCTTACAGCTTTTGTAATATGTACTATTTTACAACGTTTTACTATCTTTCCAATCTTATTCACAAATGTTTTCCAATAATAAGGATCATCTGATGTGCACATACTTAATTTTCGCTGAATAATATATTGCAAATTTTGTAATTTGGAAAGTTTTTCTTTTGCCATATTTAGTTGTCTAGTTGTAACATTAGCCTTTGGTTTTTTATTCTTTCCTTTCTTTTGACCTGCTTTAGCCAGTTTGATTTCTTTATTAGACTTTTTGGCCTTTTTATTATTTTTTATATCTTCTTTTAAAGATTTTGTTTCTATTTGACTGTGTGCATTTTTATTTATTTCTATGCACACTGAATTATTTTCATCATTCAAATGATTATTTTCTGGATAATTAACTTCAGTACTTTGGCTATTATCATTTGTAAAATTATTTAAATTTGATGATGAACAGGTAGCATAGCGATTCTGATCTTTATTAGATATACTAACAGTAATATTAGTATATTTATTATTTTTCGGTTGTTCTTTCTCATTTTCAATATTACACGTACGAATTTGATCCTTATTAGATACACTAACAATGATATTTGTACATTTATCACTATTCTGATACTCGTCAATTTTAGAATTATTCATATTTAATTCACGATTGCCAACAGTTTCGTCAGCTTTATTTTTATTTGACATATTTACGGTAATATTTGTATATTTATCAGAAGTGTTATCTACTGGATATAAATCGTACGACGTAGATGGCAAATTATAATCAATTGTATTTCTATCTAAAGCATTATTATCATTGTAACATTCATTTGGAACTATAGCTGGTTCTGGTATATAATTATATTCTGAAATCCTGTAATTCTGGGGATTAATATTCTTCTCCGTTCTATTACTATATTCAATTGAATTATTATATACCATGTGACTATCTGTTGCTGTTGAATTTTCTAAATGTATAAAATCATTTCTATTTGAAGGTTCATTTTGAACAGGATAACAAACTGTTAGATTATTACTATTAGATCCTTGACTTAGTTGATAATCTGGATTATTTGGTAAAATGTCAATAAATGATTGGTTCATTTTATTTTGCATGTGTAAATCTTCCCAAACTGGAATATTTTTCGAGAGAGAATTAGTCTTAGCATTACACTTACGTGTATTTCTGTTTAGCTTTGGACTTGAATATTTACCATACTTATTTACAAAAGATTTTGGTGGAGTGTGAGGTACAAATACAAAATTATAGACTGTTAGAATTTGAAGGTATGCCTGAAGAGGTACATCCGTTCCTGTTAATTGTTTTAGAATTTGAATAAATTCGTGAATTTCTTCAAGAATTGTCCGTAAATTAGGATGATTATTCAATATCGAAAGTAATTTCTTCTGTGTCACTCTTAAACGAGTCACCAAATTTACATGTACTTCTTCATTTATTGAACTATATAATTCACCTTTTATCGAATTTATGGTATTATATAGATCAAGAGCATTACCCGTTTCTTTTCGTAATTTACTTATTTCTGATTCTAAAAAATGTATCAAATCTGTTCGTTGTAATGGTAAATCCATAAACATTACGTGATTCTTTTCATCATCATCAAGACTTAGCCAATATAGAATAAGCCTGCATAAGCCATTTATTAAATGAGCAAATGTTCTGACGCGCAAGACTATTTCATTGTTTGAACCTTTTGTTTTATATATTTTCACATGAAACATAAATAGATTCTGCAACTTTTCTACAAAATATGGAACAACTTTACATTCCATTATGTTGTACGTGTTGAAACCTTTTCTTGCGGTTATAATATATGTAATTTCCATTCCATTATTTTCTATTGTATAAAAATAACCACACTCATATATGACAAAAGCAATATTACGTTTTTTTTCCCACACATTTTTTGGAAATGCTTTCTTTTGGCTTATATTTTTTTTTATTAATTCTTTAGGAAATGGCAAAAGATTGTCCGATACATGGACATTAGTAATTATGTCTTTATTAGACTTTTCACTGATTGCGTTCAGCGTGTTATTGTCATTTACCTCATTTATGTTATCAACATAAGTTGGACCATCTGTATAATTTGATACAAACGATGGTGTAGGAAAATGTTGCGACCATCTGTAGTCTTCACACGTAGAGGAATCATGACCTCGTTTTGTACAGTTACAGCAAAAGAGACGATCGGCAGGCTTCATTACACCCAATACGTTTAAAGGAATACTTATTTGATCTGTAGTTGTCTGAAATGTCATTGTTATTTATTTTAATTTACGATTACTAAAATGATATACTTTGTTATGTACGTAAAAGAGATATTTATACATAGATAAATAACAAATATGATATATCTTACTGTTTGATGATATCTCCTCCAAAGATCTGGACATTCGGTATGAACATGACCTACTGCAGAACACATTTTACAATAAAGCTTTCTGCAGGTTTCGCAAGTTGGTCTGAACGTGTCTTGTTTTTTACCACACTAAAATCAATATTTATTATGAACATTTTATTGTAAATAACACATTAAAAATATAATATTAACACACAAATGTTTTCTAACCGTGAGACAGAATCTTTGTATACACCGTGATCCTCTATGACTGTCAAGGCCGCATATATAGCATGTAGTTGATTTTTTTACTTCTTTGCAATTATATCTCATATGACCACTTTGATGGCAGTAAGTACATCTTAATTTCCATCTTAGATTCTTGGGTTTTAATGTCAAATCATCATCTAAAATAGCCCAAAGTCGTGGATCTTCTACAATTTATATATTAACAACAACGTTTACTTGCAAGAGAATAAAGACATTAATAAAATTAAAAAATTGATTACTTACTGGACATTTTTCTTTGAATTTCTTTAACATCAAAGTTCTCTTGACCACGAGGATTATTATAAAAAGCTTTTAACTTTTTAGACATAGGTTGAAAAAAGGAATTGTCCGATTTATTTTTATTCTCTTGCTCGTTACTAGTACTGCTTGTACTCGCTTGATTTTTAGAACATTTTTCACTTTGTTTTGTTCGTTTAACATTGTCAATATTTTCTTCATTTTCCCTTTCCAATTGTCTTTTATTATTTGGACTTGATATATTCTGCGACATAACATATTCATTATCAGGCAATATATCTTGCGTGAAATCTATATTTGTATTTCCTAAATTAGTTTCGGATGTATCATTTTGTAAATTTTTTGTGGTACACATGGATGCTAATGTATTATTTTGTTCTTCAACAAGGTTTTGGTCTACATTGCTTTTATTTTTATTCTCTAAATGTTTATTGTTCGAATCAACCATTTTTTTTCCAGACTTATTTTTTTTATTATTAACTTTATTGGATTGTTGTTGAACATTTGAATTTACTTCCTTTGTAAAATCTAGTTTTTTCTGAGCACTTTTCTTCATTTCTTTAATTTCATTAATATTGGAAGCGCCTTTACATATTTCTGTGCAATTTAAAACAATGTCCTCCATCTCCATTGAAATTTCTGAGTCGTTTAAAGATTTTAATTCAGATTGCGATTTGGATAGTGCTTTTTTCACTTGATCTTTGAAATTACTCGTATATAAATCTGAATGATTAAAAGATTTTTTTTTCTTCGTTTTCTTCTTACTAATCACTGCGTTCTCTTCATCGGAATCATTTAAATTAATGACAGGTGGCTGAGGTTTAGGAGGAACTGGTAATTCTAATATAGATTCATCCGAATCAGAATCGATCTCAGCTTTTTTTTTATTTTTGCAACGCTCAGCATCATGTAACTTTTTCTTATCTGCTTTATCAAGGGTAGTGTACTTACTTTCTATTTGTGTAGTTTCCTTATGTTTCTTATTATGAATTTGTTTAATAGATTCTTGTGAACCTAGTGAACCTATCTTAGTGATTAAATTTTCTGTGTTTTGTTTCTTCTGTTTCGATTCTTTACATTTATTCTTTGAAGTATTGATATTTGTAATATCAGATTGTTTAATAGTAGAATGATCGTCTAATGAACTGTTACCCTTATTAAGAACTTCAGAGAACAAATTTTCAGAATTTTTCGCTTTCTTTTTTTTACTCTTTTTTCTCCTGAGCTTGATACTTTCTTCCTCTTCAACAATTTCATTAAACACATAAGGATCTGTATCTCTATTCTGTACATTTTCAATCAAATTTACATGTGTAACTTTTTTCAAATCGTTATTAATTACTTGTTCATTTTGTCGAAAAGATTCGTTCGAATTACTTTTCGCATTTTGTTTATCATTATCTAATATTGCAATATTATCCATGTTCTTTGTCTTATTAGGAAAACTTTTTGAAGTAACTGGCTTTTCAGTAGGAACCTCAGATTCTACTGGCACATGATAAATGTTAGCATATAATCTGGATTCTAAATCACTATCGTTATCCTCCTCACCAAAATTATTACCTAAGAAAAAGTATTTTGTTTACAAATATGAAGAAAAACGACTACATAAAATATACATAACGACAAAGGATGAAAATATTTTAAGGTTATATTTATGTGATCATTAAAAGTAAATCAGACTTACTACTTGGCAAATTATCTTCCATGTTATTTAAATCTTACAAAAGATTTATTATAAACAAATATCCAAAAATCCTTATCGTTCATTTCCTCATAACATGCATACAAAATTGCACATCAACTGCATGGAAACAATGATAAAATCGAATCAAATATAATAATCATAAAGAACGCATGCTCTGAAAGTGTTACTTTTCAAATGTAAATATCCCTAGAAAACCCGGGCAAAAAAAGCTAAACGTTTTCTTTGTTTTATGAGATAAAAAAGATATTTACTGTTTTTTTTTTGCAATTATATATATATATATATAAATAATAACATTAATTTGAATCTTATATTTATATGAATATAATAAATAAAGATTTTTAAATAGAATTCATGAGAATGATCTAAATCGGTGCGACATTAAACTTGTTTTCATGAAAGTAGAAAAATTCCATGAAATTACGTCATACATTTTAATGCAACTTTATGTTCTATCAAATTTTTTTCACATTTAATTTCTATTTTCTTTTTTTATCGTATTTAATAATTGCGTTATCTTTAACAAGTAATACAAAGATAATAATTATATTACTTGGTATGGTCACTTTAGTGATCAACGACAAATAGGTATAAAATAACTATTATATTCCCAAATTTTCTATCTCGAAAGAATAAATAGTAAGAAAAATGGCTTGCATTTGTATGCTTCGATATTTTGCTATTACGAAATATTAAGTAAATTTATTCTTTCATAATTATATAATGTTTTTATTTAAATTTAAATTGTATATTAAAAATTTACAAATAGAAATTTATTAATAAAACATTTTGTTGATATCCTTACAGAAATTCAAAGTAAGATTTATTTTATTAATTTTAATTTATTCGACGATCTATGTAAATGATATTTAAAAATTGTTTATAATTAATTCATTCTATTAAAATACGATGTGTATATGCATCAATAGTTTATATATGTATACATGTATATATGTATATTATTCATGTGACAAAAATCACAATATTGTTCATTTAAATCAAATTATTCCAAATTCTTTACATTCATTTTGATTTATGATTAATCTTCGTTTTTATTATTAGCTAACTACCAAGAAAACAATAGTCTATAAAACTCAAAATTTATTATGATTTAATATGATATTTCAGTATCTCTAATATGGCTGTATACAACTTCATTCTACCAGGACGGATAATAGCAGTAAATGGTGAGCAATTATAATCCCAATACTTTCAAAAGAATAAAATTAAATATATTATATTATTCATATTTAATTATTTACAAAAACTAATAGGTTTTATACTTAAATGCATCATTAATGATGATTAATTGTCATCAATCATTGTAAAGTTATATCATCAATTTAACGTTGTTAAAATTTACATTATGATTTAGTAATGGTTTTAAGTAAAAAATGTTAATTAGTCTGCGTTAAATTATTATTTTTGGTATTAATTTATTATTTCTGTAGACTGTTTTTCTTACTGGTTTTATTAACATAGAGATAAAGAGTAGGAGAAAGTAAGAGAAAAAGAGTAGGAAGAAGTGAGAGAAAACACATATTATATATATATATATATATACACACACACACATATATAATATATATATATATATACATCTTCTTAACTATCACAAATTTCATCTGGAACCGTTATACGTGTCCTTTAAACGTTTAATTTAACGGAATTTATTTTAATTTTTTTTTAATTAAAACAGGATAATAATAATAAAAAATAATTTAATCTATGCAAGTTTATATTTATATGTGTATGTGTATATGACCAATTTAAACGTCAAGTGTTATTTCATCAAGTAACCTAAAAAAATGTCGAACAACGACCAACAAAATCTTACATTTTTTGAGAATTTAAAACAATTTTTGATAGACGAGGATGCAGATAGTGTTATGTATTTATTTACACTTCACAATGATATCATTGAAAATTATGCTTGGGATATTGTACCCATTGTATCTAAATATTTAACCACTTCTAATGCTGTTATTAAAAAGAAATTCTTTAAAAGTTGCGAATATATACTTAATAAAATAGCAGAAACATGTAATCCATATGAGACTATATTGCAATTTTTAGAACAAATTGAATTATTAGACGATGATATGAAATTTTTTACGCTGTTGAAACCAGTTGGAATTAGTTTTAATAAAGCTAATGATAAGTCTAAAATCATTGAATGGTGCGTTAGTACAATACAATCATATGTGCAAGATTTACCTATACCAATTCACAACAATTCAGAATCAAACAAAAATAAGAGTAACGACAAAAAATATTCAATTCAGGATAGAATTATCAACGTATATTTCCATGTTGTTTCATTTATACATTCAATAGTCAGAGAATCTAATCAAATAAGAATTGCTCATCAAGATATTGTATTTAAGAATTATATCACAGCTTTCTTAATTTCTTTATTAGGAAGTCCGTTTAGTTATTTACGTGAAGATTTAAAAGGGGGAAATCAAGTAGAATTTTTACGTAATGAAATATTAATGCTTGTATTTAAACTTAATGAAGATCCATTGTATTTTTTAAAATTCATGAAAGATCGTTTGGTAAAAAATATAGAAACATTAAAAAATGATTCAGAGGAAATAACACCAAGTGTAAATAAACAACTAGGAAAATTGGAAGTCTTGGAATCAGAAGAAATTGTACCAACTTTTGCATACGCTAATTTTTATTTCTATGTCTTAACACAGGAAATTTTGTGGGTAAAACTTCCACAAGTTTATCATCCATATTATATCTTTCAAGCTTGCATATTTCTTGTCGGTCACCTAATTGATAAACATCATATTGATTTAATAAATAAAGGTTTTACATTTATAGAAGTTCTTTTAAAACGTTTAGAGAAAATGTCTATTGGTCCAAGTGCATTAGAATTAGAAATTTATACTAACTTATTGGAGAAAATTGTTAAAGTAATGGTATATTGTGAAAGCCATAATGAAAGGAAAAGAGCATCATCAATTTTTGAAAAATATATTTTAAATACATTTAATATGGAAGCAAGATATTCCATAATTACACATTTGTATTATAGATCGCACCATTCTGGTGTTCTTGGCTTGGTAACTGGTTTAGTTAAAACATCTATCATTCAAAGTTTAGAAACAACGCCTAGATGTATATATTTTTTTGGAAACAATTTGAAATCTTTATTAAAACATGCTTGTAACTTGGCTCATGGTAGTACAACTGATTTGATAGAGATATCAGATGAAATAATAGCTGGATTAAATCTCTTAAGATTTTTATTTATCAGAGATCGATCCAATGAAACTGGTATTTGGGACTTGATACATACGCTTGAAAATAATTTCTTGAAACCTTTAAGACAAGGGATAGATCTAAGCAAAGCGCATTGGAGAACTAAAATAAAAGATTTAGAAGAAGCTAAAAGTAATAGATCGCATAGTTCTTGTGAAACAGAAGCAGCTAAGGTGATATTAACTGTTGGTAACCAAAACTTACCAGCCATGCCAATCGAACAGAAATTAGAAATATCACATCAAATTTTATGCGGTCTTGATGTAATGGAAAGTCTTTTAATTAGAGTTGATGAGTGTATTGTAAACAATCCTATATAAAGTATCTTATAAGCTATAATAATTTTTATATGTATGTGTTATTATATAAGAATATAAAATAATGTTAACATTTAATTGCGTCTTCCATTGCTTTCACTCTGTGTATGATACATATAAATATAAATGTATAATTCAATGTAAACAGTAAAATATACAACACATTTTGATATAGGACTTAGAAGTCTCTTGAATTCAAGAGTTCTATTAAGATATCGGTCCAATGATACTACAGATCATCAGAAAGAAAAACAAAATGAGTCATCGAATAAGGAAACTGAAGAAGAATATGAGAAAACAACGAAGAAAAAGATCCTTACAGCATCTATGAACTTTGTACCAGAATTAGGATGGAGTAGACAAGCTATTAGTGCTGGTAATTATTACTATTTCATAAGTAAATCTTATATTATTTAAATGTTTGAATGTTTTTAAGTCAAATGATTTAATATAATTAAAAGCTGAACGTTAAATCCATCAAAGGTGCTGAATCTATTGGTTATCCTGGCATAATTCATGGAATGTTTCCAAATGGTGGCGCTGAATTAGTTGCACATTTCTATTCTACCTGCAATAGCGAATTGAATAATATTCTGAAAGAAAAATATAGAACGACTCAAGCAGATCCTGTTAAGAAAATAGAAGATAGATCAGAACAAGTCTGCTATGCAGTAGAAACCAGGCTTAGGATGATAATTCCTTATAAAAAAAATTGGCCACAAGCAATAGCGCTTATGACACTTCCACCAAATGTTCCAACAGCATTAGCAAATTTAGTTACATTGGTTGATGATATTTGTTATTATGCTGGTGATAGATCCGTTGATGTAGGTTTATATATTAGTTTGCGATCAAGTAATTAATTGAAATTATATTTTTAACGATTCTTAATTCCATTTTTATTCTTAGATCAATTGGTATACTAAAAGAGTAGTATTAGCAGGTATTTATAAGACAACAGAATTATACATGCTTCAAGATAACAGCGAAGATCATAAACAAACGTGGAGTTTTCTGAAAAGACGAATAGAAGATGCTAGTCAATTACATAGTATTATATCCGCAACATCAGATTTACAGCAACCAGAGCAAACTTTGAAACAAGCAAAAGAAATAGCTAATGCTACTATAATTACTGTAAGTTATTTTCTTCTATAAGATTATACAGTTGAATTATCAAAAAGAGAAACCAAAGATTATCATGTAATCATCTTTTAATCTTTTAGGCACGCAATATACTTGGATTGAATTGGCACAGATAAAATTTAGAAATAAATTAAAAATGATATGTAGTATTTGTAGATAAATGTAATTACAATATTTATTAAAAGTTACCGGAAGCTTGTAAGGTATAAATGACTTACTTTACACCGACATAAAATCTCATTATTATATCATCACTGCTTTTAAGTTGTACACAATTTTTGTACAGTATTATAAATATATTTTATGAGAGACTGTATAATAGGTTGTAAAATTTGCACTGTGATCATCATTTGAAGATTTTATCTGTAGTATTTAAATTAATATCTGATCGTTACGTTAATCTATATGTATATTAATATTTACAAAACAAATAAATAAATTTAAACACGGTTATGTAATAATTACATAAAACAAAAAGTGAAAACGGTGTATGTATTATATATATATATTAGAAATTATAAAAATCAAAGGAAATAAATTCACAGAACTTGGTAATATAAAATTATAAAATTATAATCGATGTCTTCATATATCAAATAAATAATTGAACTTACTTTTTATAGGTTAGGAACATTATAAAGGAGTGTTAGTGCATGTGTGCATGATTTTGTCCATTGTTGTGGTATTGTCAAAGAATGCAGAAGTGCATAAAAGCTCACAAGTTCCCTTTTTTATCTAACTAGATTCATCTTAGTTACTACCCGAGACTACCAGTGGGGGATAATAGGTACTTAATGCGATGACGGTACAATACTATTAAAATGTGGCCGTCACGCCTCTAGTGGCGAAACTAAAGAACTAAAAAAACACCACGTATATGAACAACCGCTGCTATTCGCTATCTTCCGTCCCAACCACCGAGCGAGACTCACGAGCACCGAACAAAGACGTGAAACTAGTCACTACTTCCTTTTTCCTCTTTAAGATTTTGTTAAGTTTTACTACATATTTGTATAAGTCTTTTTTGATCTGTTTATAATAAAAATATTCATATAATATTTTTCCCTAGTGAATTAATTATTTCCGAATATTATTGAACACGCTACAAGAAGTACCTACTATCTCCCTCTGGTAGTCTTGCTAGTAACTAAGATGAATCTAGTTACATAAAAAGGGAACTTGTGAGCTTCTATGCACTTCTGTATTCTTTGGTATTTTTTTATCGCTTAACAGTTGGCTATCCTGTTGCGAATGGCTGTCGATTTACTATTACGTTCTTATAATCAAGTTTAGTGACGTCTGTTTGTGGAAGGTGCGTTTCAACTTGAAATTAATGATCAGCTACTCATTAAAGTAAAAAGTTAAATACAATTGTTAAGAGAATGGCTGACAACGAGCAGAAAGCTAAGCAGTTATTAGCCGAAGCTGAAAAAAAATTAACATCGAAAGGCTTTTTCAGTTCTTTTTTTGGGTATGTTAACACATTGATTTATTTGAACTCGTCCAACCAGAAGAATATAAATCCAATTTTTTATTATTTAATACACGTTTTCGTATCGTTTATTTAGAACAATTAATTTTATTTATACTATTTTATTTTATATTATTCTATTCTTATTGTCTTAACGTTTCCTTATCATATCTTTTACTGAATCATTTTCTATCGTATCTGAAATACGCATGTCGCCGTATCGTATTAGTGTGTATATATGTACACACTGATATGTCAATTTTCTTTACAGTAATGAAATGTTGAAACAAAAATGAACAAAGCCATGAATCATGTGATACGAGAATTAATTATGACCAATATATTAAACAATGTAAATTATTTTTTTAAGAAAGAACTATATATTACCATTTTTCATTATCATTAGTTGTATTTATTTACTACTCATGATATTCTATGGTTTGTCGAGTATGTAACCAATTTGTTTGTATAAAAATGTAAAATTATGATGCTTATATTAACAATTGATGTATTATACAGAGGATCGACAAAACTGGAAGAAGCGGTAGAATGTTATCAACGTGCTGCAAATATGTTCAAAATGGCCAAGAAGTGGAGCGCTGCTGGAAGTGCATTTTATGAAGCTGCAGACTTGCATGCTAAAGCTGGCAGTCGACATGATGCAGCTAATTGTTATGTTGATGCATCTAATTGCTTTAAAAAATCAGACGTTAACGGTATAGCAATAGCGTCTATATATAATTATATTTTCTTTCATCGTATTAGATTAGAAAATAAATGTAAATTAAACATCAATGTAGATGTAAAAATATATATTTGTGTTTAGAGGCTATTAGTTGCTTGCTGAAATCTATTGAGATTTATACCGATATGGGGCGATTTACAATGGCAGCTAAACATCATCAAAGTATAGCAGAAATGTATGAGAGCGAAGCTGTTGATTTAGAACGTGCTGTTCATCATTATGAACAAGCAGCGGATTACTTTCGTGGCGAGGAAAGCAATTCTTCTGCCAATAAATGTTTGTTGAAAGTTGCACAATACGCGGCTCAGCTAGAAAATTATGAGAAAGCAATTCAAATATATGAGCAGGTATAAAAATTGTAAAACGATGTAGTAGTATTATAAGAAAAGTCATGCAGGATTTGGATATAAAACAAATAAAATGTTCACAGGTTGCTTCTTCATCTTTAGAAAGTTCATTACTAAAGTACAGTGCAAAGGAATACTTTTTCCGAGCTGCATTATGTCATTTGTGCGTTGATGTATTAAATGCGCAACACGCGATTGAACGCTATCAAGAGCAATATCCAGCATTCCAAGATTCTAGGGAGTATAAATTAATTAAGGTATTAAACTTTATAATATTATATATAATTCTTTTTTTTTTTAACATTTATACTAAACAAAGATTTTTCTATTATTATTCTTCTATTATCATAGACATTGATAGAACATCTTGAGGAGCAAAATTTAGAAGGCTTTACAGAAGCCGTGAAAGAATATGATTCAATTTCACGGTTGGATCAGTGGTACACTACAATATTATTACGCATAAAGAAGCAAGTCAATGATAACCCTGATTTACGCTGATCAGTTATTGTTCATTTACATTATATTATGTCAATGATATTAATGCTCCAAATCTATATGTATTCTTTCCTAAACTATATCCTGCTTTCGGTGGTATTCATCAAGTAGGTTCGTTTTTATACCCAAATATCATATTATTCCCTTGCGATTCTAGCTAACATAATAAGTTTGCTGTATAATCCAATACTTAGAGAAAGAAAAAAGATATAAAAAAAATCTCAAAAATGCATTATTATAGAATCACGGAAATTTAGATTGCTTTAAATTCTATATCGATCTTTACAGGCTATTTTCCATATTCATATATAATACATACAGTTATAGCATTGCCTTATATGTAGGCATAGTATAATATTATAAGTATCGAAAAAAAAAAACATTAATAAGAATTTGGTAAAATATAGCTTCTTTGAAGCAAGATATTCACACACTTGTGCTAATATAGTTAAATAGTTGGCACTTGTTTCCAGCATGAAACTTTTTGTCCAAATAGTACAAACCTCCTCCATATTCGAATTTTTTGTCAATTTATTATCATATATGTATAATTTCAATATTTGCAAATTATAGAGAAATGAAGTATCTCATTGTTAACGAGTTTTAGAATATGTACTCGGTCACGGTTATATTTTTTTAACTAGACAGAGTGTTATCATTTAATAATATTATTTATTACATATTAGCACTTCTATATACATATATATATATATATATATATATATATTAAAATATATTAAATATATGTCTTGTAATATAATTTATATCTTGTATATCGCGTAGAGTGGAATGGTGAATGAAGTTAAATTTTGATCAGTCGTTATCCTTACACTGCCAGTGTTTTAAAATAGGAGACACGATATTTGTTAATATTCATTGTTCCACCGATCTTTGTGTACATTTTGTTAACATAATTATCTTTTTTATTAATTATATTTTTATTATTTAATAATTATAATTAATTATGTTGACTAATCCTTTTTTTGTAAAATGTAATTCCATTGTTATGAATATTAATAATGAAAAAATTAAGAATAGAAGTAAATGCGTTAGTTAACTGAGACAAACGAAGGAAATATTTCCTTTTTAGAAATTAATTTAACCATTTTATTGCGTACACGATATTCATTCATTTTTATCTCCTTTCATTATTTTATAGTAAATATACGAAACGATCATATTTTTATCCGAGTCTTTAAGACCTTAATTCTTATAATTTTATTTTATCTAAAAGAAAAACCACACACATAAACCGATATAAATAATAACTCTATTCTCATTTAAAATAAAAAATAAATAAAAGAAAAGAGTAAAATGTTTGTATAAAAAATAATGTATCGTTATAGTGCAGGATATGATGCAATATTACACAGTAGGTAATGCAATGAATTTTGCGTAAATTAAGATGGAGATTTGTATGCTTTTTAAATCACAGAATTATATATCAACATGGAAAATAAAAAAACAATGACTACGTTTTATATATGTAGGCCAGGTAATAATTGCAAATAATTTTAAGGATTCAAAAGTGCAGCTTTTTAGTATATACGGACTTGGGCCTAAAAATGGGGGTAAAAAGCCTTTTCGTGAAAATTTCCAAACGAGCAATACTTTTTAAATCGTCAGGAGTATAAAGATGTTTCATTTTCTTATTTTTTATCCTTCAATTAGATTAATTATATTGATTTATGGGTCATTTATGTGTACAAAATAGAATACATTGTTCTAGTAATTTTGAAGGTGTAAAAATTAAAAAAGGAAAAAATATATATATATATATATATATATACATACGCACATATGTATATGTATAAAAGTGATAAATCTCCATATATTAATAAATCAACATTACGAATAAATGTATAAAATGTATTATTATCCTTTACACTCCGTGATTCTTTTTCTTGAGTTTCCTTTACGTGTTTCTATATTCGTACCTTTATGCGAAAATATATAAATCATACAATGAAATATAAATATTTAATATTTTGAAGAGAAAAAGAATAAAAAATGATTAAAAAATTGAAACAATTAAAATGATTAAAAAAATAATTAGGAAAAATTATAAGAATATATTTGCTCTTTCTAGATATTTCCATTAGAGAAATAGAACGTGCACGAATGTTCGATCAATCGAACGTTGTTTATAGATGCATTATTTACTAACATTGCGCAATACCGCGTATAATTCGATTATTAATAATATAACATTATTATAAATAGTTACGATTTTTCATATAATTCTAATTCGTGCAAAATTTATTGAATAATTTGCAAGGAATAAGCATATATATATATATATATATTTTCTTTTAATCGATATTAATGTTTCGAAACATCTCGAAACTCACGCTCGTAGATTATGACTGTGCGACTATTTTTAAACATGCCGCAAGTTTTTACTGGCAAATAAGAAAATTCTTGTAGAATTTGAATAAATTTACTCGTATTTTCAAAAAGATATTAAAAAGAAAGCAAATGAAGTAAATAAAACTAATGAATTAAGCGTAGAAGCATCATAGTTTGAAAATATTCTAGACGGTTCGAGAGAGTTTTAATGCGACGAACCATGTATCGATTCAGCAAGTTCATTTCAGCTCGAGCAGTCGTCGGTTGTCGAGAAGTTTCTAGTTCAGTCGAGAGTGGGGACGAGGTATAAATACTCGCGGTTAAAATCAGTCGAACCAGTCTTATTTCAAAAGCGAAACGAGAGAAAAGCAGAAGCTTAAAGAAAGCACTGTAAAACTATCTAAACAAACCCTATCGAATAAAGTTATAACAGTAAATTTTACAAGTAAAAAAGAAAAAGAGAATATCAGAGAAACATCCAAGATGCCTGCAATTGGTATTGATTTGGGAACAACTTACTCCTGTGTAGGAGTTTGGCAACAAGGAAAAGTCGAAATCATTGCGAACGATCAAGGCAACAGAACAACACCAAGTTACGTTGCATTTACAGAAACTGAACGTTTGATCGGCGATGCTGCAAAGAACCAGGTGGCAATGAACCCGGCCAATACCGTTTTCGATGCAAAACGGTTGATTGGCCGCAAATACGACGACCCGAAGATCCAAAACGATATTAGACATTGGCCGTTCAAAGTGGTCAACGATGGAGGAAAGCCTAAGATCCAAGTTGAATACCGCGGCGAGAACAAGAGGTTCAATCCAGAAGAAATCAGTTCTATGGTATTGATTAAGATGAAGGAAACTGCAGAGGCTTACCTTGGACAGACTGTTCGAGATGCTGTCATTACGGTACCAGCTTATTTCAACGATTCACAGCGTCAAGCTACCAAAGACGCTGGTGCAATAGCTGGCTTAAACGTACTTAGAATTATAAATGAACCTACAGCCGCTGCACTTGCTTATGGCTTAGATAAGAATCTAAAAGGAGAAAGGAACGTATTGATTTTTGATCTGGGAGGTGGTACTTTTGACGTTTCTATTTTAACCATCGACGAGGGCTCGCTCTTTGAGGTAAAAGCTACAGCGGGCGACACGCATTTGGGTGGTGAGGACTTTGACTCGAGATTGGTTGATCATTTCTGCAAAGAATTTGAGAGGAAATATAAAAAGAACATGAGAAATAATCCCAGATCACTGCGAAGACTTAGAACGGCTGCTGAACGGGCAAAGAGAACTCTATCTTCGAGTACGGAAGCGACGATTGAGATTGATGCTCTTTACGAGGGTGTAGATTTCTATACGAAAATCTCTCGTGCTCGTTTCGAAGAACTTTGCGCTGATCTCTTCAGATCTACTTTGGAACCAGTAGAAAAGGCACTCGCAGATGCGAAATTCGACAAACGATCGATAAACGACGTTGTCCTTGTTGGTGGTTCAACTCGTATTCCAAAGATCCAAAATATGCTACAGAATTTCTTCTGTGGCAAACAGTTGAATCTTTCCATCAATCCTGACGAAGCTGTAGCTTACGGAGCGGCAGTACAGGCTGCTATACTCACCGGAGAAGGTTCCAATAGTTCCACCCTACAGGATGTACTTTTGGTCGACGTGGCTCCGTTGTCTCTTGGTATTGAGACTGCTGGTGGTGTCATGACTAACATCATTGAACGTAATGCTCGCATACCATGCAAGCAGACGCAAACGTTCACCACCTATTCCGATAATCAACCAGGAGTATCGATTCAAGTTTACGAGGGTGAACGAGCAATGACCAAAGATAATAATTTGCTTGGCAGATTCGAATTAAGTGGTATTGCACCTGCTCCACGTGGTATACCCAAGATCGAGGTTACCTTCGATATGGATGCCAATGGAATTCTTCACGTTACTGCCAAGGATACTGCTAGTGGCCGTAGCAATAATATCAAAATAACCAACGACAAGGGTCGCTTGAGTAGAGATGAAATTGACAGAATGTTGGCAGAAGCAGAACGTTATAAAGAACAAGACAAGGAACAGAGAGAGAAGGTTTCTGTTAGAAATCAATTAGAGAGCTACGTCTTTTCAGTTCAACAAGCGGTTAATGATAGCGGATCCAAATTGACCGATACTGACAAAAATCAAGTGAGGGAGATATGCGACGAAACTATTCGTTGGCTGGATAATAATTCCCTTGCAGAAAAGGAAGAATATAAGCACAAATTGGAGGAATTGCAGAAGCAGTGCTCACCTATCATGATGAAAATTCATCAGGGTGGAGCTGGTGGACCCCAACAGGATTGCGGCGGCCAATACAGACAACAAAACTACGATAACTCCGGACCTACTGTAGAAGAAGTAGATTAAATTCAATAGGATCTACGAATTATTTTATATTTTTGAAAAAATGTAACTATGTTTCATTTTTTTTTATATCTGTACCTGATCGATGTATATTTCTTTTGATATTCTTTTATAACTTGAATGTTCTGATATGTTGTTAAGTTTCTATTACGTATGCATAAGAAAATTGTATTTAATTTAATTTATTAATTACCTATTAAGTGTAAAAAGAGTATTAAGTAAAACTTTCAAACGAGAGATTTACTCATATCATATATATCCTATGATTTTGATAATAAATTACTACGTAATTATATTTATTTAATATTGCGTGTTATACTTTTATGAAATATCTTAAAAAGAAATCTCCATCTCCCTCTTAATTTATTTAAATAAAATTCGAGAGCTAACAATTATTCCCCGTAATATTTTACAAAAAAAAGAAGTAGTATAGTATAATTCAATGATCGATACTTATCCTTTTATTTCAGTAGAGATCTGTAATCTTTCAAAGCTTCTTCTATCCATTTATAACATTTAGATGGAAGTGGTAGCAATGGAAGACGCGGAGGTCCAACATCAATCGGAGAAATGATCTGCATAGCGATTTTCATCGATTGAATCCAATCGCCTTGAAAATAAAAATGTAATTCTAACAAATTATTTCAAAAAACTAAACTCTAACATTGTAATATATAATATTATTTCCAAAATTTACCAAACGTCGTTATAGCGTCAATAGCTGATATTATTTTCTCTTGCATTTTCCTAATATCCGGTAAATCTGAGAATTCGTTGGCATGAACCAATTTGGATATATGTTTAGGAAATAAATTGATACTCGTAACTATAAAAGAATCGATCCCTAACACGCACCCAGATGATATGAGCTATGTCGATGTACAATACAATTATTATTTATTTATAAATATAATTCTTAATTGTATTAATAAATGAAAATTACCTGATCGCAACCAAGAAATATTTTAAACATCCCATTTCTTGCGTTCAGTATGTGTGAAGCTTGTACAAGATCAGTGTGTGTAAATTTTACACCTACCAACGATGGAATTTCATTTCCAATGAAGTCTAAGAAGCTGCCAATGTCTACTGTAAAATGTATGCTTTTTAAATGTTATGACGTATTCTATATACACGCAAATAGATATATTTAAAGAAAAAAAAATATATATGTATCTTACAAGTAACGTTGGTATATAATGGTATGTGATAATATAACATAGGCATATCTGGAACTTCTTGAGCTATTGTTTTCAAATAATTCCGTAAATTTAATTGACTATCCGGTTTAAAATATAGTTCTGGTAAGACAAGTATAGAATCTGCTCCTATCGTTTGAGCATGCTTGGCCTTCGAAAGAACAAATTAAACAAAAGAAATGTATTTATGGTTAAAAATTAATATGTATCAGCACATTTACATTAACATGTGTTAATATTAGGCGATTCATTTAATTCCTCTCATTTTTTCGTTTCTAGAAATTGACTATTTTCTAAAGGAAAATGAATGAATCTAAATTCAAATGATTCCTTGATATTCTACTACCTTTTCCCATTTCTTGGACAACACGCGATCCTCTCATTCATTCATTTAGCACCAATAGGAATTAAGTTTACCGCCTAATACACATCGATATCAGGTATTATGTTTAAGTATTTATATTATAATTAAACTTACCAAGTGAATTACATCAGGTAAGTTTGAACCACCTACTTGAATCATTAAATATTGATTCGTAGATGTAACTGCTTTCGACCAAGCTTCTGCGACTTCTTTTCTTTCTTCTATGTTCATCGACATACCTTCTCCAGTCGTTCCATTAACTTCATATAATATTCAAAAGATTGAATAAATGATAAAGAGAAAGAAAAAGAGAGAGAAAAAATTATTAATATTTATTTCGTCAGAATATTTAGTATAATAAATGATCAATATTGTATGAATATTTTTGTTAAGTATAAATAAGAATTAGTCAGCATTTATAATTTGGAGATGGTTGCGTCATGATTAAATGTTGATAAATATATTGATCATTTATTTTAAATACTGATTCAATAAATAACTATCTCAGAAGAAATTTCGATATTATTTTATTTCTTTTTATTTAGGAATATATATCTATATCTGCAGAATGAGCTGACCCTTTTCGTAATAATGTTATCATTAACGTTTATCAGCATTAGCACGCATAAAGACAGCCGGTCAAAATAGCGTCAATTACAAATCATATTCAATTGCTCAAACTTCAAAATCAATTTTCTCGTAAAAAAATTTCGGACGAAATAACGTCAGATCTAATTTTTGTCATTTTTTTTTTCTTTTTCACGTAGATTCAACCCCTCTGTTTTATTGTATACCCCTTCCTCTCACCCTGTATCTATATATATATATATATATATTTAAAAATATATTTTGAAAATATACCAAGAACACCCTTGATTCCATTTTCGTGTAGATAATTCGCATAGGCTGGTATGACACTCAAGTTTAAATGTCTATAATTATTAAAATGATATTAATGGGAATATTATTTATAACGTATATATACACATGCATAAAAATAATACGATAATATTTATAATGATTATATCATATTTTACCCATCAGGAGTAAATGGCGTAAAGACAGGAGCTATTAATCCTTTATAATCAAACTTGACAGGCTAAAATAAAATAAAATCTTGCTTAATTATTTAAAATGTAAATTAAATAATAATAAGTTTGAAAAATGATAAGAGTCGAGATAAATTGTTATTTTAAATTAATAGCGAATTTGATTAATTTATTCATTTTATTATTCGATCGCGATTTGGATAATATTATAATACATATTTATGTGTATCACTATATATACATCTTTTTCTTATTTTTTCTTAAAACATCGCTCGTGACATCGTACATTATATTGTTTATTTGTATTAATCATATTTATGAATAATTAAATATCGAATAAATAATGTGAGTGTATATTTACCGGCATATTGTTGAACAGAAGATTTTACAGAATGATGCGTTATAGTTAGTAACACCACTGTTAAACTACTGTGAGAATACTGCTCCGTGATAATTCCGCTATGCGAGATGCAAAAAATACATCTTGTCGTCAACAACCGATAAGGTTTTGTTGATCTTTTCTTATGTGATAATTTATTCATATCTATTTACAACACATTGTGCCTTACCACACAGTTAAACTGTTATTTTTTATTCAAGATATTTCTTTCTCTTTCTCTTATTCTCACTCTCTTAAATATTTAATTAATGAGAAAATATTTCATAACTCTTTCATCTATATATAATATATTTAAATAATTTTCTTTATACGATATTGAATGGAAGTAAAAAACAAAACGAAAAAAAAATCTAAATAACAAATTTCGATCGATATATCGTAAAAATAATTATAGAGACGAATAAAGTGGGTGAGATTATTATTTATATAAAAATGTTATTGTATTTATTTACAGGTAGATTTCTTTTCTTGTGTTTCTCAATAGTGTCAATAATATTAATTTATTAATATACTATATTATATAATATATATATGCACGTATATATGTTGTAATAATAGTAAATCTTTTTTATATAATGTCCAAGACGGTCGAATGCATTTATTTTTTAATTTTTTTTCCATATGTAGGACGTGTTTTTTTTCCTTTTGTGAAACGAGAATGAGTAAATAGTACTTTCCAATTCTGTATTTTACATAATAACGCCAAAGAGAAAGAATTTTCTAATTGCTTTTTTTTTTTTTACTTTTTTTTTAAACTTTATATCCACTATTCTCTGATAATGTTATTTTTTTTTCCTTCATTATTTTTCAGATTACTAAAATGCGACAAAATTCATGGCTACAGAAACATAGTCGAATGAGAGAACTATGGAAAATTGTATGTTACTTTTTTATTATTATTATTTTTTCTTACTTTTCATTTCTCGCGATACTTTTATCGAGATACATTGTGTATGCAATTTAAGTTAGTTCTACGTGTTTATAATTTCATTTTATTTTATTTTATATTATTTTATATTATTTTATATTATTCTATTGTTTATTTTATCTTAATTATTTTCCTCATCTTCTCCTTCTTTTTTATTTATTATTTTTTTTAAAACATCATTCGCGTTCTTACATCGTCCTAAATTTGAATATAACCGCATGATCTAATTTAATTCTAAATCTAGAGTTCGTAATGATTTATTTTTTTATTTTAATTTTTAATTTGAATCATTTTTCTTCCTTCCTTTTTTTCTTTCTATTTTACTTTTCTCAAAGAAAATCTCTCGAGTTAGTTTGTTATTCGAGATTATTTCAATTATTTTATTTGAAAACTCTGATGCATATCATTATCCGCATACAGGAGATCATTAAATAGTAATATAAGAACTTTGTTCGTTTCTAATCGGAGAAATCATTCTAATTGAGTTATTAATTGTGTCGAAAAAATATTCTATAGATAAAAAGCTCGACTCTATCGAATAAAATACATTACTTTACTTTGTAGCGTTTGGGAGGTCGTTTTATGCAAACATATGCGAGTTACATATGCGAATACATATGTATATATGTTACGGTCAATGTACATATTCCGAGCATCGTTTCATTCTGACGCAACCCTGAAAAAATTCTATGTTTTTAAATACATATGCATATATATATACATATATATGAATGTAGTAGTTATGTATTAGCACCTTAGGCTAATCATAAAATAAAAATAAAAAGCTATAGTATTAATTTACACGTAGAAAAGTATATTAGCCATTTTTTGGGAATTATTGAACATTATTATTATTATGCAAACAATGAATATAATTTAAAATATCCATTTAAAAAGTGTGCGCGTAACGTGTATACGCGATATGCGTGTATAGGGAATATAATTGCTTCTTTTCAACTTGAACGATGTTATATAAAAGTTTCTATCTCGTAATATGTGTTTCAAACATTATAAATATTATTCTAAATATTCGACGATCGAACTTTCGATACGATCGATCGATTTTGAGTATAAAACAAACGAACTTATCAAATAAAACGAATAACATTTCGATACATATATTAATATACCACGTACATTGATGTATTTTTTATAATATACGTTCATGTACGTATGTATATATATATATATATATATATATTAATATACTTATAAATAATAAACGTTCGAGTTTAACGATCAATGAAGATTATTAATATTTGATGAATGAAATATAGTAGTTGTATTGTTGTTTTTTTCGAATGATTTCATTTATCATTGGCGCGATTCGACTTTTATTTCGTCTTGAGATGGAATATTACTACTACTTTATATATGAAGTTAAATTTTCCTTAATCTTGATAATTTACGCATGAAATTGTTGTATGCATAATTTATTGACAATGCATTAAGCTGTCTAATGATAAGCGCCGTTTATCTTTGATTATATCAGCCGGTTTTCTTGTTATACTACAATAATTTTTTTGTTTATTCGTGTAGTGTATAAATGACAAAAAAAACATATGAACGTTTTTTTTATGTGTTCTCGTGTCATAAAATTTATTTTATAATATATATATATATATGAAAAGACTATTTCGCGTATATAATATTAATGTTTATACGTACTTTTTTTAACAGAGAATAAATATTCGCGGGTTCAGGCCAGCCCGAGCCGCACAGGAGAGATGACATTCTTTCTTTCTTTCTTTTTTTTTTTCTTTTCTTTTCTTGTCATTTTTAAAGTCTTAGATTTGATCCATATTTTGTAACGTTCATTTCTCTTTCGTTACATCATTTTAACGATCGCCTTTTTTCTTTATTCGGCTTTAAAATGCGCCCCTTATAAAAGTCCAGCAATACACATAGCGTATATATATATATATATATATATATATGTATATATTTAAATTATTAAATATATAATAGAGTAACTAAAAAAAAGAATCACACGGATATGTATTTACAGTAGGGATATGCACGATCTCAAATACTTTGTATTTTTTTTTTTTCTTTTCTTGTTAAATAATTTTAATACATAAGTACAACTTTTGTTTTATTTTACTTCCTTGTGAACTTTTGTTTCTTTTTTCTTTTTTAAAGTAGCCTCCATTTAAAGATCCTCTTAATTGATTCCACTTAATTACAGTTTCATCTATATGTATATATATATATATGTGTGTGTGTGTATAATTGTTTATAATATACGGAGCCGCATTTAACATTAAAAAGCGCGTTACGGCGCTATTATTTCACAATTAAAAATTTTACTCTTTACGAATAACTATTTTAATAAAGTCAGAACAAAAATGTTCTTTAATTTTGTAAATAATTAACATTTGAATGTAAAGTGATTTATTTTAAAAGGCTTTTTAAAAAATACACAATTATATATATATACGCAAACCCATGTAACTATGTGTTACTTTAATTTTATCAAAATAAATTGTTATATGGAAAAAAAAGAAAAGGAAAGTATTGTTAAATCGAAATAAATGAATTGACGAAAAACAAAAAATAATGAAATTGAAGTAAATCAAATGATTTCTTCTTCTTTTTGTTGCTTCACAATAATTTCGCGCTTAGGACCTTTAAAAAGTATAAATACGATCCTGTATATATGTGTGTACATATCTTCTAATTTTCTTACCATCGCCGACGAAAAATCGAAATAGAATAGAAAGCACCCGGGTAATATTCTTAACGAGAGTGGTCCCAAAAGTATTAAGGAGTAACCGTTTCCCCCTTTTACGCAAGAGCTTTTCGAAAAGCTTCGAAAATTTTTTCTATCTTTTTTTTTTTTTTTTCTTTTATTTTATTTTATTTTAAATCTTCTTAACTCTGTGTGTGCATCAAATTGTTTAACTTTATTCTTTCTCGGGATTATCAGCGACATTAAGTTAAAAACGCAAATGCGTTTTTTTACTCTAACAATTTTATTGATATTTTTGTCTTCGAAGTTTTTCGACGACCGTCGGCCTCCTCCTCCTCCTCCTCCTCCTCCTCCTCCTCCTCCTTTTAATCGTTGACGATGCTGTTCTTTTAATTATTTATTTTATTTTATTTTGGGGTTTCTTTGCGAATGTTCTCAGGGGGGGGTGGGAGTGTCGAGATTTAATTAAAATACACATAACGTTTAATTATCGTTATTAGTAGCCATTATTCGTTTGCGCCTATTTACATAAACGTTTATTTTCTCTCATTCTGATAATAACTAATTTGTAATTATTCTTCTTTCATGTTTTGTATAGAGTAATCATATATACACATATATATTTGTTATATGTGTGCATGCACAACGATGTCACGAGACGTCGGAAGAGACGAAATTTTTTTTCCTTTTTTTTTACATTTTTTGCATTTAAGAAACATGATTATTATTATTATTATTATAATATATATTTGTCGGATTCAGATTGATTTACAATTTTTCGTAGGAAAAGTTAGCGCGTCGGTAGTTTTTAGAAAATGGATATACAATATTATTTAGGATGCATTGGAAGACGGAACGAGATTCTTGTGGCATCGTTGGCAGAATAGATATCGTTCGTCTAATCAATATATTTCATCATGCTACTGTCTGTCATTCTGTAGTTATCTTGTGTTATTTAATTAACAAAAATTAGGCTATCTCGGTATTGAACGAACCTTCTCATTCTTCTTCTTCTTCTTCGTTCAATTATATGCACTTGAAAATTCTTGGCGCATACATTCTATTTATCTTGCAATGTGTTTATTCGAATGCATAAAAGCATGGTAAATAAAACAAATCCACACTTCTCTTATTCTTGAAATATATACAATCTAATAATAAAGTTTCCTCCAAAGAACAGATAAAAAGGAAGAGACGTTAGTGTATATGTATATTTCTATGTGTGTATGCATATGTCTCTGTGTGTGTTGTGTGTAAGAAAGTAAACATCAATCAATTTTGCAAATTTTAGCGATTTATATATTATGCATCTATATATATATGTATGTATATATGTATATAGAAGTTTGATATCTTCGAGTAATAATATTAAATATGATAATGAGTTCATGGCCTTTCTTTTTACATGTGTAAGAAATAAAAGATTATTTTTTTTCGTAGATAATCATTTTCATTTTGTTTTTTTTTTCTTTCTAATGACAGACAGAACAAGAGAATAAAAGAGAGAAAGAGAGAGAGAGAGAGAGATAGAAAGAGAATGTGTGTGTGTGTGTGTGTAAAATTGTACTAAGAAATAATACTGACGTGTTATAAAGAAAGCCCCATGGATTTTGGCTTTCTTTTGATCATTTTTGTTGTTCTTTGCCGACACGAAATGTCGTAATTATATACGTATACCTAAATTTGTATGCTCGAGTATCACTCTATCGCAACGTGATAATGGTCCAACACAGATATAGATCGATTTATGTTTCTCGAACTAGAATTTTCTGATTTGTTCATTAAAATTTGAGATATGATTCAATTAGTTCTCTTTCAATAATATTTATAATAATAATTATTATCGAGCTTATTAATGAATACGAGTAGCACTAAAAGTATTCTATAATAATATATAATCGTGGATTTTCATTGAAATAAATGAAATATAATTTTCATAATGATATCGTTATTTTAATAAAAGGCTCGCAATTGTGTAGAGATAATCCATTGTTCCTCGTATCATATATAATATTAATAATATAATATGACTCGTCTCTAAAGAATAAAATATTTGAATGAGATTGGCCTTTGTCCTCGTACTCTCGTCGAATTCGTATACAATTGAAATGTCTTGATTTATTTTCATTCGAACCTAATTGATACCTTTGAGGCGTTAGGCTAGTATTTCCAATGAATTATTAATAGGGGGTTGTTGATGGGGGTTGTTAATGGGGGTCGGTGATGGGTATTTTTTAAAGCTGATTTCTTCGAGCGGCGAAGATCGAAGTTATCGACGTCGCTCGCGACTGCCACTATGATTTCCAAACTCTTAATTTCCTCAATGATACTTTCTTTAAATGAAGTGCCGCGTTAAGTATATCAGATTCGCGAGTATCCTCACCGTCGGAATGAACTTCGCGTCTACGGCCTGACATCAATAAACGATGTCTCAAACCTCTTGAGGTTGGATCAGATAGGGCTTCGCTTACTGGAACTTTTTCCTTGCTCGATCCAGGTAACGATACGGATCTACCAACGGAGAAACCCTTGCTCAGCCTGTCTAACGTTGTCGGTATTAAATGTCGCCTAGGTGCGATTTGTTCTCTTTCTCTTAAACTAAATCTACCTAAGGTCTTCCAAAAAGCTTGAGTGCTATAAACATTTTCGTCGTCCCTGAGGACTCTTTGCTGACGACTACCGCTACCAACAGCACCAGCTCCACCCCATTCCAATTCCTCGACCAATACAAATTTCATAGGATCTTCCATTCGCCTTGCCTTTACCAAAGCCTGAGCTAGAACGTCTTGTGCGGAACTACTCACTGGTACTCGTAAAATAGCGTAAGGAATTTCCGGTGAAACTTCGTTAATGCAAACTAAAAAAGTGTCTTCCTCGTCCCATATATGTGTTGAATGATCCCGCGAATTGGTATCCAATTTCGAATGTCCGGCCGTACTTCGAATCGATAAAAGCCATGCTCTGCTACTTGGATCATCCCCGACACGTTTTAACAGAAATCTACCTTGTCCTTTCCACAATGCTTGAGCTTGAAGAGGGTGCTCGGTAGGATCGAGAATTCGTTGAGTAGGTAATTCTTCTCGATCACGTTTTTCCCAACCACGGGAGACTTCCTCTACGAGAATATATTCGTCAACGTGTTCCGGTGATATTCCTGCTTTTTGCAATGCTTGTAACATCACTTCTTGGGTAGTACTTTCTTGGGTTACTTTTAAAATGGTATAAGGTTCTTCCGGTATTACGTGATAAACCATTAGGAAAAACATTCTTCTTTTTAATGTTACCCCACCGAGTCCTGCTGGATCTACGGTAGTCAATTTATCCGGTTCTTTACTCGACGACGGTCGTTTCGATGTCGTTTCCTTGTGATCGCGACAACAAGTATTGTAATCGAGACTTTCCTCTTCCAAGCGGGAATAGATGAATAACGTGGATAAAGCTAATGGTTTATTTTTACACGAACGCAATCGTACGTGTCTGTAACCTGGTCGTAGGCATTTTAAAGGTATCACGCGTTGAGCAATCAAATGATGAGAACTTGCTTCGACTATACCTAATCTTAAAAAGGCTAGATCTTTAAACATCACTTGGAAGCAGAACTTTTCATTCCATATTGGATTTAGGGCATTGTTTTGTATGACTTTGGTTTTATGTTTTGCACAATCGATCGGTATGCCCACCAACTCGATTTCAACGTACGTACTGGCCAAGAAGTTTGTTGCTGAAACGTATTGCCCAGACACTATCGATAAAGCCAAATGGGCTGAGTGTAGACCATCAAATTCTTTGTCCCATGGATTGAATCGCCTACAAATATAAATATAAATATTAATGATACGTATTCTCTATCATTTATTCGTAATAATACATATTTTATAGATAAATAATTCGACGTGCCTATACATCATATGAGTCTTGTCCCACATCACCGAAGGTTTCCTCACGTATCCACATTGTCCGTTCTGTTCGAACATGGCAGCATTCAAATTTAATCCCGCATCGTCGGTTTGATAATTCAACGCTACCATTTGAATACCAAATGCCCAAAAGATCACAGGATTAAAATTGGTTGAATCGATACGCATTCCCGCTGGATACGTTCGAACTAATTGTGTTTCTGTATGAGCTACCACACCCAATGGCTGCTTCCTACAAATTTTTTTGGCTGCGCTTTCGTTCAAAGACGAGCATTGGAAGCATGCTGGTACGCCACGGGTCGTCCTGATGAACAAACAACAACAATTGAAAATATTCATTATCTCTTTTACTTTATCTTTTTTTAATACACATCCAAAGAGAAAAATATGAGTAAAAACCTGATGAAAAGATTATCGATGTTACTGCCACCACTTGCAATTGAAGCAGACGTTGAAAGAGATTGCGGTGATCCCGAAGAAGAAGCTACCCCACTGCTACCGATTCCAGCAATGCTGTGTCTTTGAACAGGCCCAGTATGAGCCTGATGACGAATTTTTCCAGATGTACCCGTTCCCGGAGTTGTGTTTAAGCCACGAAATTTAATAGCTTGCAAATAAACAACTAAATCTGACAATTCCTTAGCGATTTGACTACTTTGCTTTGGTTGAACTTTATCGTCGGCGGTCTGATCCGATTTTAGACGAAGTTGTGGCTGGTTACCCAAATATCTTTCGTAGCTCGATATCGAATTGTCTAGAAATAAAAAGAAACAAAATTAAACACACAAGAGTTCCCTATTTATTCTCAAACTTTGAATGTTATTTGAGAGTTGAAAACAAATGATTACCATCGATATTATCGTCCTCGTCATCGTCTTCCTCATCATCCTCATCTTCGCTGTAATATTCGACCACGGACGGGCTACTAACGTCCGTTCGCATTTGTTTCATGGATGATGCTCGATCGGATATCAACATTTTGCTACGATAAGATGTCGATGCGTGAGATAACGGACCAGTTGGATCCACTACTAATTTCTTATTTTTTATTAATATCCTATGTCGCAATTGAGATGGTGAGGGTAGTTGAGGATCGTCACCGAAATCCGTTTCAAATAAAAACTTCGTTACAAGTTTCTCCCCAAAGACCAACTGTAATTAATAGAAAACACTATTGTTTTTCTATCTAATCGATGTACCAACGTAAGCAATTCATTTATAATGAGTAACGCGAGTAACAGCTGTTATCTTTAACATTTTAATTGGGGATGGACTCGTTAAGAATACTATAAAGACGACGTAAGTTAATAAGTTCCCCACTTAAAAGGTTAAAATAATCTACGTTAATTTCAGTTGTTGACAAATTCTTTATATATTTTTAATTAGATCGAAGAGAACACATTTTTGGTAACTTTCCCACGTAACACTTTTCACGATTTTTCAAGTGCTTGATATAACCTGACAAAAAAAGTATTTGAAACAAAAGTTGAGATCACTTTTCGATTGTGGCTGTACATTGCAATAAAAAAAAAAGCTTACAAGATAATTGAAATCGATAAATTTACCTGAAAGATCTGTGCCATTCGTGCTTGTTGACTTTGGGAGCAGTGATTTTCTATGGAGAGTATAACCGGATAGGGTGAACTGACGAATGCACTCCTGTCAATCGCTTCTACTACCAATCGAAATGGGATCTTTGTGGTAAAGGTGTGGCCGTGATAAATGAGAGGTGATCCATCGTCCCCATCCCAGCAGTCTAATTCAACGCATCGACATCCGGTCAAAAGGACCTAAAAGATAGATTTCTCTATTTGAATTCGTTTAGTTTACACTTCGATACTTATTTACGATTTATTTTGATAAAATGAAATACATAGGAACGGTGAACAGTAATCGTCGATCGTTTGGCTTGTTCGCAAAGACTGATTTAATTTCTTCGAATAGGATCGATTACGACGATTTAATTAAAACCGGAGAGAGAGAGAAACTTAGACCGTTTTAACGTAATTTAGAATGTATTGGATATTTGATAAGATCGATTGGCGTACAACGTTGATTTCGAGAAAGTTAAAATTGGAAATATCAGCTATCGAATCGATCGGAACTGATGTTTCTTGTGAGCTTTGGCTAGTAGGTCAAACGATGGGTCAAATGGCGAGTAAAATACTAGGTCATAAGTTGAATTGGGCCAATAAAAAACTTATGCATAAACTTTCCTACTCTCAGAACTGACAAAACGTTAATTAAAACACACTACACAGCATCATTCTTCGTAATTTGATTTACAAATAATTACTAACTCGCAAAACAATCATTATTTTAATTGCTGGTAAAGATAATTTTCAATAATATTCATTATACCAGACAACTCTGCGAGAAATAAAATGAAAATTCTTGAAACAAGCATTAGATTTGGAAAGTGCTTCGACTTTTAGGAATATTAGCGTTTAAAAATGAGTAACCTGTGAATAAAGTTGGACGGATGATTCGCCCTTAAGCTGATGGCCAGTCAGATAAGTGTTGTGGGAGCTTGCAATGTAATATTGCGATAAGGGCTGCTGCATTTCGTTTTCCAAGGGTGTCGCGTATTCGTTTGGAAAAGCGTAATTGTCCTTGTCCATCATGTATCGTGCAAAACCCTCGAAAGACAAACACCATTGTGTGCGTAATACTGGATCTGGTTCATGCCTCTGAAATTAGAAAATGTAGGGAAAAACAAATGAAAATTTGGTTGCATGTTTTTTTCCAAAGCGTATCTCGTATAGTTCTAGTCTGATTTATCTCTAATTTGTGTCTAACTTGTTCTCGTTCATTGAAAGGGTAAAATCTAAAGATAGATAGATAGTAGGTAGTAGGTAGTAGGTAGGTAGGTAGGTAGGTAGGTAGGTAGGTAGGTAGGTAGATAGATAAGTTAATTAATTGTTAGTTAGAGTAAGACGGAAAGTTAAGAAATTTACCTTGACGAGGGCTTTGATCTCGTCGTCGGTAAGCTTTTCTTGTTGTCGAGATTCGAGGAACTTTGTGAATGTGGCAAGAGTGATTACTTGAGACTTGGACGTGTCGACGCCAGAACAATTGTTCATTATACTCGCTGCTGCAACGGCGTCAAAAATTTGTTTCTTATGAAGGTTACCAGTGGTTTTGTATTCGTGACAATCGATGGAATTGTTTCTGGTTAAAAGTCCTATATTTAAAAAATATAGGAGATTATTATTTAGATAGATTAAATGTGATTCGAAATATTGTAATGATCATTATCATTTGTTACCGATTCTTTGTGGGGTGGCATCGCTGGTTTGTCTTAATACTGCTGGACGTGTACTAAAATCTCGAAGCGAACCATCACTTTGACTTCGGCACGTGATCGCAAGCTGCCCAAAGAGATCACGTAGGTCCTTTCTAGCTCGAAGGCTGAACGATCGGAAAAGTGCCACGAACTCGACAAAGTTCAACTGTGTCTCATACATAATGGAAGTGGCACGTGTTTTCACCTGCAAAGAAGTTTCCGATCCACCTGGCATTCCTCCACCATTTCTGTCCTTGTCTCTAGGAACGCAAAGCAAGCTGTTTCCAAGTGATAGCGATATAGAATGAAACAAATGAAAAGTACAAGTATATGTATTGTACATACATATAATATAAACACGGTTAGATAAGTTTTTCATTTGATCGATACCTTTGTAAACTGGAATAAGGCAAGTTGGAAGTTACTATTCTTTCGGCTGAGCCAGGTGGACTGCGCGATGTAATTCGATCTCTGCTGGCTCTTGGCGACGCTGGAATTATTCTTGTTAAGGATTCCCTGCTACCAGTTATATGACGAAAAGGTGTGCCAGATAAACCGCTAGATAAACCGCTAGATAAACCGCCAGATAAACCGCCATCCGAAGACGAGGAGTCGTATTGTTTAAAGCTGATCTCCTGAAACGTCTGAGTACATACTTTCGAGTCTATTGTAAATTTTTCTCTTAACATACCTTTGTCAGAGCATGAATATTGCCGATAGATTTGGTCTTTTTTCCCTTGACGTTTCTTTTGCGAATATTAGCACTACTAGTTGGCGAAAGGGTTCCAACACTTTCGGTTAATGACCAATCACGGCCACCAAAAACTCTTATCGCATCAGCGGTCATAGGCTCGAGGCAACCTTCCTCGAAATACAATTGTAGATATTTTTCTTTAAGCCAACGAGATCTTCGATCCGTTAATTGTCGCTGTCGCTTCAGGCCTCGTAATATCCAACACAATCCCATATACCATATCCTAAAATAAAGGATCAGAATTTTCTAATTTACTGTATTCCCATCCTACTGTTTTCGCGGCAAAATCTTTACTCACTTGCCAAGAGCCGGGGGACAAAGTAGAAAGAGCAATCGATTGTCAGGCAGATTGGAACCATACATGAGGCCGATACAAGAATCTGACCCAGGTAGGCCATACCTATACGAATGATACGATACGATACGAATTACGAGATCACGAGTTACTATTTCCTTTTTGTTTTTTTTTGTTATTGACTCGATAAAAAGGGATCATTTTGATCCTTCACCTTTTGCATATGCTCCTAAGGTCGGCCTCCCTGTCTCGGTCGCAACAACCAATCATGATTTCTTTAACGGAGGCCAAATCGAGGTATCCTTCCTCTAAAGTGACCGATGCACAATCATTTTGTAGTGCCGCGTATCTGCTTACTAAACCAGCTGGCATATTATTCTCGGGATTGCTAGTGATTGAGAATTCGGTGTAGGCGGCGGTGTTGGTTCCGAATTGGCCCGTTTTCAATGAACTCCACGGTGGTTTTTCCCAGACGAAGGTACCGCACGCTCGATCAACTCGTGCGAATACCAAGGCCGTTCTCGAAGTGCCGCTTTCACAATCCCAATGTACCAACGTTGTACCATGGTGTAATATCTAATCACATCAGTTTCCTTTATCTTATTCCTTTTTCCATATAACATTTATTGTTTCATGATAAACGATACAAATTATTACGATACACGGTTACTTTCTTCTCTCTAATTGTAAGATATATTAAAGCTTTATTAGCAAGCAAGTAGTTAGAACAAATGAGTATACCTAGTTACGATAAAGCTCGTATCAACATAATTAATTATTACCGCCGACCCTTCCTTCCTTTCACCAAGTTCACAGTTTGCTCCTAGCAAATAAGGGAGTCCCTTTTTTTACTTCCCATTGCGGTCTCTGGCTGGAACAATTCTCATAGCTATTTCTCTAACGTGTTAAAGCAGGATAAGGGAGGAAAACGCAAAATGTTGCCGAGAGAAAGATAAATCTTTTTTATGGCTGTCGTACCTACTTATACGCTTTACTAAAGTTAAGTACCTAATTATTATTCCCCTATCCACACTCACACAGACAGTTATCAGGTTAACTCAATATACCTGTAAGATATGAAGATCCATTCCTGTGCGTGGCGCGGCAACTGGGAAAAGGGCAACCCCATGATCTATGGGGATCGGTTGGACCGGCTTATAAGAATTAAGATCAAGATGATAATCATTCTCATCGCATTCCTCGGCCATGTAGGTCTGCTCGATCGCTGTGGTGTGTAGACTGAGGGTGCGGTGAAGGGAGCCGGTGGTTGCATCCCTTCCTCGAGCGTGCCGATGATTGTGGAATAGTGCAACCTTTTCCAGGACGGCGTTCGTATCGTACCTCTCGTTTGTCTTTTTTAATGAGCTCCATCCTGAAGGAGCTTCGGTATTACTCTCGACGTCTATCCGTGGACCAACCGATGCACCAGCACCAGAAGAACTTACATTTTCAATCGGCCCAATCTCTTTTGTTTTATCTTTCGTGCTCTCGCGGCTGTTCTTTTTCTCGATATCGCTCTGACAAATTAAACAAAAATATTCAACAATTTCTTTTATTAACTGTTGTTATATATATATTAAAAAATAGTCATTTATTAGTCATTATGGTTTATGTAATATTATGTTTTTTATTCATTAAAACGGACACGAACCTTTTTTGTTTTTACGATCAAATAGGCAAATCGTTGTTAGTTTTAATTTATAAATAGAATATATTTTTCTTTCGTCCAAGACTACCATCTTTGCTGACGACTAACCGATGATACCACCCTACTTCGTCTCTATTTTGCAACTGAACTATTCAAGAAAAGAAAAGGAGTAGGACTGTTATTCAACGCCTTGTATAAATAGTCCTTTCTGGAAATATGAATATGACCACCGAGCATTGTAAACAGTTTGTGCAGTATTACAAATTTCTAAGACGTCCAAAGTCAACTGCAATTCATTCTGCTTTAGTTTATCATTCTCCCGTCGGCTCATCAGAATACGCTTTCACGTACATGAACAAATATTTGACAATTTCATCGTTCGACGGTTTCTTATCGCCTCAACAAAATATATTTTTAAACTACGAACTTTTACGAGTATTATGCAAGTTTCAAAGTCACAATATTTTGATGCCAAAGGATAGAAAATATTAGAAATATTTAGAAAACGATGCGCGAACTTTATTTTCTAAACTAATTCAAATACAAGTACTGCGTGAGAGAGAATGAACAGAAAAGCAACATTCTTTTGTCGCATTGTGTTTCTTTCTTCCATTGGTTTTTTTCTTAACAAAATTCTGAAAAATTGACCAAACTATATTTCCAATCTAACTTTTCCGTCGTTAATTAAAAAGATTTCCAATTAACCGATTCATGGGTTGTGAAGAAAACTTCTACGTTACATCTTGAAAAGACTGATCATTATAATTAAATCAACTTTTAATGCTTATTCATTAGAGAGATGTTGCATTTGTTTTTTGTTTGTTTGTTTGTTTGTTCGTTAATTATATTCGTATAAGTTTGCGAGAGTAATCGTCGGATCATATGATAATATAAGTATAAAGAAAACATGATATATAAGAAAGATTTTTCCTATTACCAGGGGAGGGTTAAATGTTCTTAAGTGGGCTATAAATTTGTAGACTTTCACAGTTTGAAAATGTGAAACGAAAATTTACCTTGAAAGGTCTTCAAAAAGAATAATTAAGTTTAAATTACCTAGGAACTTATATAACCATCCCACCCTGTATACCTATACAAATAGTAAACGCTATGTTAAAACGTTACAACAACTTACACACATAAATACAACTCATTATCATTTTTTATTTCATCAAAATCATTTGTTGAAAAATGTACATACTTCCGTTGAAACTTTACACCAAAATTTAGTCTTTACAAACGAGTCAGATTTCATATATAATATCTAACGACGAGAAATATTACTTGTTATTAGTAACGCGTAAGAATTCATCCAAGAGTAAAAACATGTGCGAGTGATGAAGGATTTCAGAAAAAGAAAAGAAATAAAAATGGAAGAAAGAGACAGGTGGCGGCAGTAAGCCAACTTAATTCAACCACACCCACAACAAGCCAACTGTCAAGCCAACTGTCAAGCCAACTGTCAAGCCAATTCTCAAGCCAACCCAAAACATCCAACACAAATCAGGCAAGCAAGGAGTATTTGATTTTTCACCGTGGTGATTATTAGCGACAAGAGCAAGTAGTTTCCGCCGGCCTACAACTATCGTAACTGCTGGAGGCCGATAGAAACCCCTATCCTTGTCGTTTTACAACTATTTTCTTCAGCTTTGATTTTATATTCTTCATCTTTTTTCTTTTTTGTTTACTTGTTCTCTTGCTTCTTCTTTCCGTTTCACGTTGACTTCTTTTTGTTTTCTCAATTCTTCTTCTTCCTCTGCATCGGTCGTAGGAGGATTCTTCACGCCAAGAAACGAGGAATTCCGTTTGGAATTTCTAGTAAGTAAGTAAGTAAGAAAGGAAGAAAGAGATAGGAAGATGCCATGCGGTTTGAGAAAAGCGATTTTCTTAGGTGTCCTATCGGATAAACCATTCATCCACGTCTAACGTTTAAATCTATAGCTCCTGGGAGATGTCCAACGTTGTTCTCACCCAGAGTGAAAATATTATCGACGTCTTGCACTTCAGGCTGCCGCCTCTTTTTCTTTTTCTTCTTTTTCTTTATACGTCAGATTAAGTAAATTCGAATCTCTTAGGGGTATTGACAAGATTTTTCTTCTCTTCTTATTGTTCAAAACTGACTTCGAATAAAGATTTCTTTATCGAGACGACAAGATATGTTTAGAATTTCAATCAAATCCAATTTGTCGAGAAATTATTTCTCTTTATCCTTCTCATATCCTATTTGATAAATCTTTCTATCAACGCGAAAGAAATTCTTTTTTTATTTGTTTTTACATTAAGAAATTAATTATGCCATTTGTAATATGAAAATCATATATGTTCTCTCGATAATTTATCTTCTCTCTCTTTTCCATTTAAAATAATAATTTATTCAAATTTTATTCAAATTTCATGACACTTTATATATGAGTGTATTTCGATACTATAATATTTAGAGATTTATATATGTTACTGTCAAAGCCGGCATTACTAGTAAATCCTCGGCATTACTATGAATGTGAAGACTTTTTCGAGAGTTTTTCCTATAGCATCGAACATAATACTTTGATATTCTATAAACAAAAATCCCAAAACAAAATAAAATTTGTATTTAATATATTCTTAGAATGATTTTCAATAAAATGCATGTATAAAACATTTCGTTGTAAACCCGTTAATCTTCCGATACGATAAAGAACAAAAGATACAGATTTTTCGTGGACATTTCTACGAATATTTGTCTAACTAATGTCTAAAAAATATAACCTGAACCTTTGCAAATCAATTTAGTTTCCGATAAGTTATTTTACACGTAGGAAAAAGGGTGTACTTTAATTTAATTTAATATAAGAGTCATTAAAATCTATTCCCTCCTAGTATAAAAAATATTTACAAAAACTTTTCAAAGAAATTACAAAAAAAAAAAAGAAAAAAGAAAATAGATAAAAAGGAGATAAACGTAGATTACAGACATTTATATAACTTTATATATTTATATAACTTATTATATAAACTCCTATGAATTTCTCGTCAATTCGAAAACGACAAGGTTGTGTTAATAATAGAGCTCATTGATCGAGATGTATTATTATCTACGAGAGTGCAAATTGGAGCAGATAATATTAGTACAAATAACGATTTGCGATTTTAATCTCATCCTCTTTCGAATATTCTCTTCTAGAAAATAATATGCACGTATATTATAATGTACATATTGATATATGAGTCGTTCAAAAGCTAATACGATTAATTTCGAAAAACAAAATTTGACAAAATTAATGTTGTTTTAATGGATATATTTATACAATTTTTAATTACTTAGTTTGATGACAAAAGTATTTAAAGTTTCTTTTTATTTCAAATGATGTAGGCATCTTTACAGCAAGACAAGTTACGTACAAGATATGCAAATAGAAACGTATATACGATTAAATCGTTTAACAATGAACAAAATTATTTATGCTATCGCAATTGATCCAAAAAAAATATAACAAAATTGACTTTTTTACGACTCATATGTTATACACCTTAAGTGTTAATCTACTCTATGTCTTTCTTTTTATTTCATATTATTTTTCCTCTGTCTATGAACGATCGAATGATATTTTTACATTTGTTCGGCGATGACAACGACAATATTCGTAAATTTTATTTACAAAAAAGAAAACCCATCTGATTCGTTTGTTCTTTACTTAGAGAAATGGGGATGGGAATGGGGATTGGGATGGGAGTTGAAGGGAAAAAGCTGGCAATTTGTCGAATATACGAGGGACACGTATAATTGATAATTGATAGAAAATAGGTAACACAAAGAGAACGGAAAGGCACTATCTCGATATTTCCAGGACGTGCTGCCAGGAAACATTGAACACGCAGTGATAATCGATCTTCTATTTTGCGGCCGCGCGTTATACCTATCTTTCTTTTCGTTCTAGAAAAGCTACTTTGGCAGATTCTCCCTCTACTCTCACTCTTCTCCCGAGAGAAAAGCTTTTCTTGCACACTTTCTGGAAACCATACCCTCCGAGACTCTACCTTTGGGATTAGGCTACCTCCGAGATGAGTATTACTTTACTCAAACCGTGTTTGAGAAAAGGAAGAATGATTATCAGCTTCCATTGGATACGTGTTCGTGTATAGTAGTAATGTATACTATAAATATATCATCTGCGGACAATAGCTCCTTTCGTGATATGTTTTTCGAAGGTTTTTCGTAAAAGAGGGGAAGAATATAGAAATGGACGTGTGTATGAATTGTTATTGATATAGTTCTTTTTCTTTTTGACGGATCTACAAAAGAATAGTCACTTATTCCTACACGAAGATATCTTACTAAGATCAACTTCCTTGTTGTATACCTTTTCACCAGTTTTCTTTTGACCCTATGCTCTCGATACGGTGGATCAAATAAATCGAGAAATAACAACAACAAAAATACACGAAAGAATGGACTTATCTTCAAAGATTTATTATTTCTCGTATAGTTTTTCTTACAAAGAGGGGAAAATTATGCTTTTTTCACGTAATGTGAAAAAATAATAATAAAATAAAAATAAGAACTTTTAATTTTCGCTCAAACTTTGATCTAATAATCATGACGATTATAGATGATGGTTTAATTCGGTTTTTGAAAATTAAGCAAGAAGATTAAAATCTCACCTTGTATTCGTTAGCGTTGACTTCTCTTAATTCCCGCAAAAAGGCACCAAAAAATGGTACCACTGGACATTCTGGCATTGCGAGAGCACGAGCTAACGCATGCTCGTACTCGGAAGACAAAAGGGCGGAGGCAAGATATTCCAGAACAGGAATTGACTCACTTACGCTCGGGTAAAATGGCTTCAGCTTGTTTGATCTGTAACCGAAACGTTTTTATTTTCTTTTTTTTTTCAAAACCTGATTTTTAACATATTTCATTTGGCCGAAAATATTTGTTCAGTATTTTTCTATACGCACTGAAAAGTTTCATTTAACTAAAGTAGTCATTTCAAAGCTATGGTCTAACGTTGATATATTTCTTCAAAATAAATATGATTAATATTTCTTATTAAAGTATTATATATTTCTATTTGTTCGGGTTACTTTTATTAATTAATGATCGATATATATAATAATATAATAGGTCATTAAATGAATTCCTGTGGGTTCAGTTTGAAGATAGTTCATTCAAAAGTACAGGAATTGGAAACTTTTGAGAAACTACTTTTTCCGACTCGATTAAATACCAAGGGAACGTTTTTGAGAATTTTTATCGCGTTCTATTCGCTTGCCCCGATATTCTACCAGAGAGCGCTGAATTTTTCTTTTCCTTTGTTTTTTTTTCTTTTCCTTTTTCTTTTTTTCTCTCTCTCTCGTACATTTCGACCTCCTCTAACGGTCGAATATGGATTTTAAAGTGGAACGAACGAAAACGAACGAAGAGGAAAAAAAGAAAAATGAGAATCGAGTTTAGAATTTTTTAACGAAAAAGGAAGTTGATACATATTTTAACGTGGGAGAAGTTGCTGCTACCATTTTCAGAAACGTATCCTATTTTTCCCCTACCAACAAGGATTCTCACGTTTTAACCTTTATGATAGTTCTCCTCGTACGTCAAGCTTTCTAAGACTAACTATTAGAAGTAATAGTCTAACGTCACGTTTGTGGGATCGTCGAAGATACTTGTTATTTGAGTTAAGTGGCTTTACTGTGCACAACTTTTTCTCTCCCTTTTTCTCACCATTTTTCTCTTACATTTTTGTCGACAACGATTTTTGTCACACATATTCCATTACAAAGAAAGAACAACGTATGGAGTTTAATTTTTGTTTAATATTACAAAAAAGGAAAGAGAGAGAGAAAAAGCGAAGGAAGAAATGGCTCGAGGCGACCTTTCTTATTCTTTACGAACAGGATTAAATTTGCCCTTCGGAGATTGCAGTCTTCGGGCATACAATCTACTCACTATCTTTCCTCCTGTCTTTTTCTTTATTCCTATTCTATTCTATTCTTTTTTTTTTTTTTTATATTTTTTCTCTACCTTCTGAAACACAAAAGATCGAGTAAAATGAAGTTTACGTTTAGTACCACTTGTTATGATTATCTCAAAGCAAAGAAAAATTTCGTCTAATTTATCCGACTTACACGCGGCGTTAACCTAAATTGAAAATCTCGCTAAACGAGATTTGATTTTTTTTATTCAAAAGTCATCAGAAAAATCTAAAATGATCAATGATTTGTTTACTTTCCCTTTGGCTTATGAATAAATCAAAAGTATTCGCAAAATAACATTTGCACATTGTGATTTAATATCAAAAATTGCGTTATTATAATAGATTCAGTTTTCATAATAAATTTACTAATTACTGAACATCTTTCTGTTCAAATGTTTTGCCAGCGATCGAATTTTTCAAGGCAATAAACATACTGACACGTAAAAGGTTTATCCGAACGCAACCCTTAAAACCAAGTGTTGCTCGATGAATCGATTACAGAAGCACGCGGTGAATCGATCATTAATGCATTTCGATTTGTTCACTTTTTCAAACGTTTGCATCTCAATCAAATCTATGACTAATTGTAAGTCATGCTTATGCACTTGACGTTGAATTTCATTCATTGATTTTGCTCGGATATTCTACGAATCCAACCGGTTTAATTTTGTATCAGAATTTTCGGTATACTCCCCGTATGTGTGAATGGGTGAGGGGGGAAAATAGGGAGGAAAAGAAAGTTGAGTAAAACAACAGCTCGATTCCATTTCTCTCTTCAGCCACAAATGACGCTTTTCCATTATTGGAAGCCACGTAGTAAGCCACGAACGGGAAATATCCGGAAGAAACATCCGGTAGATAGCCATTAACTGTTCTACCCCTAGAAGGACCACTCATCCCTTCTCTTTTTCTCTTTCCACCACCCCCTGTTCCTCTGTCTCTTTCTTTCTCACATATACACACATTTCTCTTCTTTCTTTTGAACTATCTCTTTAAACCTCTTACGACTTGTGCCACAATTTTCTTCCTAATCTACACGTGGATTTCCCCAAGTTCTCCACTCCCACCTCCACCCTCTCTCTCTCTCTCTCTTCTTCTCCTAACTTGTTTGAGAAACTTTCGAGATCTGCGGTTTCCCAAAGAAACTTTCCTAAGGTATCGGAAGAGAACGATATCGAAGAACGATGGCAGAATAAGAGGGAAAGAAAAGAAAAAAAAAAAGAGCAAGTCCCACGTAAAGTTAGACTTTCTTTTTCGAAAGAAAATGTTGCATGCAAACGGCATATTGTAAGTACCTACTGTACTTCTTCTTCTTCTTATTCTTCTTTACTACTACTTTTACCCCAACGTCATATCGTTATTTTATATTTCTTATTTATATTTTTTCTTCCACTTTTGCCTTTTTATTTTTGTATATTTCTCGTTCTTATTTCTTTTCAATATTTTATCGAACTGAGAAAACTGGAACGACAGTTCTTAAATTCTATATCGTATATTATACTTTTCTATATATCTTTTATAAATAAATGTATTGTATATTGTATTATTGTATAAGGTGAAAAGTTATCTTAGGTGATTTAACAAATCAATTCTATTCCTAGTTTGATAATTATGTTAAAAATCATTATTTTTAATTGTTATTATGAAGAAAATATTATTGAAATTATTATTTTGATAATTGAAATCATTTAGAAATTGTTCATCAATTTATTTCAAATTGCGTAACATAAGTATTTAAGATCGAAATAAGAACGATAACCCCTTTCAGTTATTTTATTTCCCTTTTAAAAATTCTTTTCCGTTGAAGGGTTTTAAAGGACTCACGCGCGATACACGAATATTTTATATTCATTTTAGAAAACTCTCCTTTCTAATTAAAGCACTCCAAAGAATCATTATTATATTCACAACGGGAGAATAAGAATAAGAAGAAGAAGGAGGAGGTGGAGTTGGAGGTGGAGAAAAAAAAAAGTAAGTCTACCTATACAGGGTTGAAATTACGAGCGAACCGCGTGGTGGCCCTTCTTCAAGGCCGTAGGATGTAGATTAAAAAGTTCTTAGCCACACGATGGAGAGCAACTTCCATCTTCCTTGGAAAGTCTTTCGTGGAATGGCACGTAAGGCACGTAACTAAAACATTTTCTCTCTTATTTTTTTCTCTACTTTTCCTTCCCCCTCTCATCTCTTCTATAATACTTTATTTTTATTTTTATTTTTATCTTTAGTTTCTTTTTTTTTCTTTCTCTAACCCAAACAACACAAGGGGGAGGAACGAGAAAAAACATTTAGAAGAGACAAAAATATGAACACGCTCGTAAGCTTAAATTCTTTCTACTTTTCCCCTTTCTTTTCTCTCTTCAAACCGACAAAGATAATTAGCCCGTTGCTTTCGAATTATCTTTTAATTGAACGACATTCGGCGAGAGGATATTTTTTACACTACTTTCTGATGTTTTTTTATCCTTTTTTTAATAATCAACGAAGGTAATTTTGTTCGTTACGTATGGCTTTTCTCATCATTCATATGGACTAAACAAAAAAGTAATTGACAAGGAGAATTATCTCGTTTTTTTTCGGATTATCTCATCTTTTCGTTTGGTTCTAACAAAAGAATGAAAGATACTTCGATCCTTTCGGAAAAAATGGCGTCGACGGCGGCGGCGTGTCGATGTTAAAAGAAAAAGGGAAGGAAGAAAAAAAGGAAGAGAGAAAGAAAAAAGGAAAAAAAAAAAAAAAAAAGAAACAAAGAAGGGAAAACGTTTTTAGGGCTCTGAGAACGATAAAGTTTCGCGAAATACGTTCGCTTTGAGGAAGATAATGGATGTCTAGGCGAAAGCCACTTCAAGATCTCGAAGCAACGAGACGAGATACGAATCCGAAAAGACATCCTCCCATTGTCTTAAATAATGCATAGGAGGGGAGAATTTGACGCTAGCAAACCATGAACCTGATGCGAAAAGAACATTTCTACTAGCAAAAGAAAAGAAATTCCACTTTGTTGTTTTTATATCGTTTATCTATTTATATGTGTTTGTACGTATAATAATATTTTTGATATACAAGTACTATATACTAATAAATAAAGTCTTTTACTTTGATTGAACGATCGACAACAAAATTCTACAGACATTTTTGGATCGCCGAGTAAAGAATCGGGTGTGATCATCGGGAATTGGGGGGGAGTATGTATTATTCCAAGGGATAAAGATTAGGCAAGCCGTCCTTGCTCGATTTTCCCAAGTTTTAACATGGTGTGACATCGTGGAAAGTTCGTAGAAACATCTAAATCGGATTACACTTGCAAAACTCGAGAGAGAAAGATATATATATATATATATATATTCTCTCTACATTTATCGACGTTGAACGTGACGTGTGTTTGCGACGAATTGAGATGGACACTAGTACGAGTAATAGTATCCATCTCAACTATTCTCGTTATTATGATCTATGTATTTCAATATACGATGATTTATTTATTCTACACGAGAAGAAAAGAGTCTTGGTCATATTATTATTACGTTCCTTATTTTCACGATTGCATCCTCCGTTATTTTCTTTTAATACCATCATTACTATCATGCAATATATTATTTGTACCATTATCGTTAAATTATTAGTATCATGTTATTTTGATTATTATCCCAACAACTGTATATAACATTATTGTAAGACTATTAAATCCTACAGGGTTTACCCTATTTTACATTTTTTTTTCTCGTCCTTTCTACAAGCCCTTTTCTAACCCTCGTCAAATTCTTAAACCGAGCCCCAACTTTCTTGGAATTTTTCATTTTCCCCAAAATCCGTCCTTCCAAGCTATTTCTAAATTTATTTTATATACCTTTATAAAAAGATCACACTTTAATTAATATCTACTTTTTTACAAAATCTAACGTTTTTCGTTTATATGTTTTATTTTTTAAACGTGTTATAAACATTAATACTTACTTAAGACCAGCTATAATCTCCATAGCCGAATTAAAGTTTCCAGTATTCCAACAAGTTAGAGCTACTCGTAGTAGGCAAGATAACACTGCCTGACGTTCTTCTACAGTGGCACCGCTGGTTATAACGTGGGTTACCCATGAGCTCACCTATAGAACACAAATAATGCACGAACGCAAATGATTTATCGTACATTGAATTTTTCAATTGCATATTTGTTGTAAGATTTATCTCCTATTTCAACACTAAACTATTAATATTCATGATTTAATGAAAATTTATCTCTTACTGATAATATCGAATGATACAGGTTCTCTCTCTTATTATTAGTAGCAGTAATATTATGATAAGTGCAGTGGTATTATGGTAATCGCAGGACAATCAACATTGTACAAACACATTGTTTATAGAATTGGTTTCGTAAAACGTATCATCGTTACGTTTACATATATATTGCTCGGCTTACGTTCGATATTGTTATCATATGCATTCGACTGGGTACGAAATGTAATCAATCGTTACTTTGAAAGAGAGAGAGAGAGAAAAAAAAAAAAGAAAAAATAGGAAGATCTATCGATTTTGAAAGACTGCGAAAAAGAAACAACACTACTGCCAATGGAAATGTAAAAGATTATGAAAGAGAGTATGAGAGAAAAAGGGACGGAGAAGTGGAGTGGTTGCTTTAACCGAACTATAACTGGGCTTCCTTGAGGCAAACTTTTGTACCTTTTTACGAGTACCTTGAGGCAGACACGTTCGCGACCATGAAATTATTTCTCGCGTGTGTTTGCGTAAGAGCAACCGAAAAAAAGAACGCGCAGGCGCCAAGTTTGTTCGGTCGTCGGAGGGTGAGAAAATTGGTCAATGTAGCAGCTTATCGTTTCTCGATTCTCCCTCACACTCTATTTTTACCATGATCTGTCTCGTATCTCGAGAAAGATGAGAGAGGGTGAAACGATAAACGAGCCGATAAACGCGACCGGTAAACGACGTGGAACGATTAGGAGGGTGGAGAGAAAGAGAGAAGGGGCAGGGGTGTGTATGTACCTCATTGAATCGATTGATGAGCGTCTGAACGGAAGCAAAAACTGTAGGACCGGGCCAAGAGGATTCTTCCTCGGTCTGGGTCGAGCTATTTGCTCTGCTTGGGCTGCTGCAACTGCGACTCGGCGACGGGGGTGGCCTCGCGGCTGATTTTTGCAATGCGTTTTGATCCTGGGACACTTGCTTTAGGTACTCGTTAGGTGGTACCTGATAAAATAGTTGGTATTCGACTTCCGTCAACCTGAGCGCCACCTCCTCGGGGAAGTGCAGCAGCTTGTGCAGATCCTCCAGCTCCTCAGAGCTCCGAGGCAGCTGCGGCTGCGGCCGCTTCTCCAGCTCTGTAACATTTCAATCCTATGTTGGATTTTTTTATACACGTCTCTCCCTGTTATTCTTTTGTCTTTTACATCATTTCGAGAGTACGACTATATAAAGTTCTACAAAGATTTTCTTCTCTAAAGTGTTCAATTTTCTTAATTTTTTCTTCAATTTCCCAAGGATATGAGAAAAAAAAGAGCTTAATTGTGCAAGAAAAGAAAACTGCTCTAAGAGAAATGAGAAATTGTTCGTGATCCTTTTTTCTAATCAAGCACACATATCACAAATGCCCAACTATTATTACGAGTCTCGACTCATTTCTCATTTTCACACTCGGACTAACTTTCAGGAATACTCGAGCATGGGAAATTTGAAAAGCAGTACAACATGGTATGTACAATATATAGGTATATATATATATATATATATAGATGTACGTATGTTCGATCATCACCCTGAGGGATTTTACATTTCCTCGTGCATCTAATTCAAAGCTACGAGAGGAATTGTCTTTGTTGCTTTATATAAATTACACGCTTATAATTAATCTTTCAGAACATATACATATGTATATATCCATTTGCTTTTGTTAAACTTTCATAACGAACTATTCGTTTCTGTCTTTTTTCCTAAACTAACGAACGGAAACGAAAATGAAAACGAAAACGAAAACGAAAACGAAAAGGAAACCGAAAAAGTAAAAGAAATGAAAAAAAAGAAACGGTGGGGTGAAAGAAATTTGGCGAAAAATTTCGAAAGTAACATAGATGTGTTTGCACGGTTGCATACGTTAAGCCCCCATTGCTTGCAAGCACCGATTTTTAAAGCTGACCCAGTTTATATGAGAAATAATTCAGAACGCGGAGAACTGGCTCGACTATACGAGGGTAGTAGTTGTCGCGCGTGCACTAGCATAATGTGCACACACGATGAAAGGGGAGAGAAGAAAAAAGGAAAAGAAAAAAAAAAGAAAAACATGCACTGCGAGCCCGGGATAAGAGTAATTCGAGATAGTTTTGCGAGTGTGGGTGTGGGTGGATAGTAATATGTAGTAGTTTGATATTACTAGTGTCGTTTCTCTTGCGTGTTATCCTCCAAGCACAAACCCCGTCATCATTGTTATCGTAATTAACGGCATCGAAAGTTACGCTGACTATGCGAGACTAACGAAATAATACCTACCCGACTAATAACAGACTCGACTACCTTTCGACCACTGCTGATCATCGTGTTCTTCATTTCGTTGATCGATACAATCACGTATCTTTTCCTATAATCCAATTTTTTCTTCGACCTCGAAATAGATCATCAAATCTTTTTCGACTTTTACAAATGTTGTTTTTTTTATATTTACAATTCGTTGCGGCTTTTAAAAATATAGATCAATCTATTTAAATGATTTAGAAATAGTACCAATCTCAAAAGCCTTTCATTAAATAAAATATGATAATAAATGCTATAATAATACATATTCTACACTTTTTCAAATTGGATAACTTATCTAATCGCAAACTTATCATAAAAATGCATAGAACGCTGTATTTAGAATTCTCGCGGTAGATTCCTAATTAGATTAAACGTAGATATATTCTCTAATTAAGAAACACATTGTAAGTCCTAGAAATTGTATTATATTTTCTTTTTCATTTTGGTCGATACGCGCCCCACCCCCCAATCGTGTTTCGTATAATTTCATTTTGGAAAAATAAATCATAAATTTTATATAGAAATTTTTTAGGTCAATATTTTATTCTAATTATTTCGTCAAACGATGGAAGATAGTGCGTAGATCTATTTCAATGGATTAGAACAACTAGTTTTTCGAGATGTCGAAAAACTTAACAGCTTCTTTTCTTACAATAAATCGAATAACCACGAAAGATGAAAACGAGGTAATAATTTATTATTATCAAATCATATCCAGGTTTATGCAACGTAACTTTCTATTATGAAAAATGGATCGGTTCTGAAACTTAAATCGTAGTGCTTATTTTCGATTAAACTTATCCTCTCTCTTTTACACACACACACTTTTGCAAGTAGTTTTTTAATAACTTCGAAGAAAATTTCTTTTACATCGAGAGAATCAATCTGCATCGAACTTTTTCCGTTAGTTTTCTATGTATTATGATACGAAGAAGAAGAAGAAGAAGAAGAAGAAGAAAAAAAAAGGAAATGACCTCTCACATTTTCATTTATCGATTTTTCAAAAAATATATATATATATGAATATATTACGTTTTAACGAAAGACAATTCGTAAGAAAGATTAATCCAATTTCGGTTTTCTTTTTTTACACATGATACACACCCTCCTATTACAACGTTAATCTCCCCTAGTCTATATAATCGGGAAAGATCTCTTAAATAAGAGAAAAGAAAACGAAAGAAAGAAAGAAAGAAATCAAGACTAAAGGAATGGGGGGGGAGGATGTCAAAAGAAATCTCCGATAAAACGAGAAAATCATGTTGACGCGTGAAGAGATTTATGTTCGGGAAAGGAAGGAAGGGGGGGGGAGGAGGGAAGAAAAAAAATAAAAAAAAAAGAAAAAAAAAGAAGGAAAAGGACACAATGTGGTGGTGGTGCTGCTGCCGCGTGCTGGCTGCCGAATGATGCATTGTTTGTAGTGCGTCATGGTGGTGTGTTACGTTTTGCAAAGGAAGATTAATGGGGATTATTACCTTATTGGGTAATGTTGCGGCCACGTGAGGTGGGGGAAACGATATTAGTCGGAGCGATCGTGGTGTGGTCGCAACGCCAACGAGGTTGACGCCGAATAAACGGCGTTTCACCTGAGAAAGGTGAATCGCCGAGGCTCCTTCAATTCAGTTTGAGGATTATTATTCCCCGATTTGATGCGATATTTAATATTAGACGACGCCATCAGGATGATGATGACCAGGAGGACAATAATTGTTTCCTTATTTCCGTACGTTGCCGTATTATTTCCTCCATCTGGAGGAGGATCCCCACCCAATCGGATATTCGGATTTTTAGGAAGAGGATCTTTTCCAACACTTCCTTTCCTTTTTATTTCTTTTTCTTTTTCTTTTCCTTTTTTATTTTCTATCTTTGGCGAATGCCTCGTTCAATATTCGCCGCCTCTTGGTGGTGGTGGTGATCTTTTTCTTCCTCCTCCTCCTCCTCTTTCTTTCGAGAAAACGATGCCAACAATCTGGATCTGGAAAGAAACGAAAAAAACACACCAAATAAAGTATTACAAACTTCGATTTATTGTCCAGATCGAAAATAAGTGAACGTAGGGATTTATAATGAGCTTTTCGGTAAATTCATTTCGTTGGTTTTCTTTTAAAAGAGACCGAGTAGTCGTAGGAGGAAATAGTTATGCGAGTGAGTGTAAAACAATGCTAAAAGATGAAACTTTTCAGAGAACATCTACTAAGGATTAAGATTTATCGCAAAAAAGCTTTTTTTTTTTTTCTTTCCGATGCCGAACCGTGTCTCTTCAAATGAACTGCTTTTTCGTTGCCAATTAAAAGATTTTGCAATTTTTAATTAAAAGTTAATCGATTATCATTCATTGCAAAATGCCATTGTTCTATATCGTTAGAAAAGAATTTTTAGTTGCGATAAAAAGAGAGAGATAGAGACAACGCCCTAGTTACAAACTTATGGGGAAACAAAATTTCAAGTAGCACATTTCCCCGGTGTGCTGTCTTATCTCAGATATAACTGGTCGCTGGTTTCATATTTGCAGGGTAAAGGGTACAAAAATTTTATGACACGAACAAATGTCTTTTCACTGTCCTCCTACACGCGACATTTACACATACGAGGGGATAGTATCTGTATACATGAACCACCCTTCCTCCTCTACCCTCCTTTTCCTTTCTTTTTTTTTATTGTTTGCAGATAAGTTCGACCTAGAAGATTTTTGCTGCTTATGCAAACAGACCCTTCCTAAAAACATCGAGATAAAAATGAGAAAGAGCAAGAGAATAAGTTTGTCGTCTAGCTGATCGAACGTTTTTCTTTTTTTTTTATAATATTATGATCATCGCAAAATGTTATCTTGCATGCTCAAATATTTGATTAGAAAAATTAAGGCTAAATATCATTGTTTCACATTTTTCTTTCTATCCGATCAGTATTTTTATCATATACAATATTAATGGTATGATGATTCATTTAAAATATTGATTGAATTCTTGTGTTATTATTTTTTCTTCTCTCTCTCGATCATTATAAATTCAAATGATCCTTCAAATATTCATTTCAAATACAAATTTTACTATATCACTGTGTACGTGTGGGTGGGTGTATACAGTTTGCTTAGAATCTCCTATCTAATTTATGCTAATCAGTAAATCAGAAACACTAACGTTACGTGTGTTTATTAACGTTGAGCTGTGCATTGTGATTTTAGATATTGAGAGAGTATTCAGAATTCCTATGTAATACATACATATACGTATTACAAAACCAATTGTACGATACGATACGATATGATACGATACGATACGATACGTCGTTACGTAACATACAGACACATCAATCGATATTGATGTACATTTCTAATTAATTACACGTATATGTCATGCTTAAATTGAATAAAATTGCAGCTCAATATTGGCAGAACCCCTAACGCAACCTGAACATTTTTAGCGTCCAGTATATTGTCTAGGGGCTTCAAATGAAAAAGCTTTACTCGGGGATAAACTATGTGTACTATTTTGTTTCATTTCATTTAATCCAATTTTGTGTTATAATATAATTAAACAAAGCTAAAATGCATCCACGTGTATTTATACCACACGGTTAGATTAAAATGTATGATATTTTGTTAGAAATAAATATCAATGAATGTATGGAAGCTTGCTTGGTAATAATCGACTCGTATAAGTTATCTCGAGTATACCAAGTCCAAAAGGTTAATAACAGCCATTATCTATCCACTATGATTTAAGAGCATATAGCTAGGTATATTTTTTTTTTTTTTCATACGTCATTAAGGTCGCATTCAGTCTGTAATATAAAAAGGAAGAAAAAAATCTACGCAGGAAGTATATAAAAGTGAATAGATAAAAGTATCACTACGTTGAGAACCGATCGCAAACATACTGCAATAATAATCTGTAGAGATAAATCATACTTTTATTATTTCCTTATTGTTCATAATATTTCGATCAAAATAATCGACAGATTTTTGTATCAACTTATACAAAAAAATTGCACGATAACATATTTGTAGCAATACCTCCTTGCTACCAATTATGAAACATTCGTATTTATTTGATCAATATGTTTGTTAATCAATTATCTCTATCGTAGAACGTTTCCCTTTTTTTTTTTAAGATCATACATAGCAATCGAAAAATTTCGAAAATTTATTTATCTTCCAAAATAATTATTATTCGAGCATAATAAA